CCCAGTATACCCCCATCCCTCCCCCTCCCCCTACCTGTGTGGCAGATGATTTCCACATTACTCTCTCTCTACTTTGAGCACATTCAATATTTTGACACCAGACCCACCATTATTATTTGAGATTTTACCCCAACACTCAGGTCTGCTGAAAAGGCAACAGTAGACAATTTGTGTTCTATTGCTGGTTATGAATAACATATGTTGTCGTGTGGCTGCAGTAGCGCCATGTGATTTTGAAATTCCAAAATTTTAACACTTAAATCTGGAGGGATTACTGCCAAAAGCCACTGGGTTTCGAGATTTGCTCCTGAGTCTCTGGGATCATGGCTATTGAGCAGCTTGATCAGGAGCCAGAGAGACCGTTCGTGGGTGATGACTTGGGGTCTCGTTGGGGTGGGGAGGACAGGCCCGGCTCCCCCCTCCATCCCTTGAGGCCCAACAAGTTTCGTCACTGCGGGCCCAAGCCTGACTTTCCAATGGCCTCTGGAGGATGATGGCCACTGAGCCGCCAAGGGGGAGCAGGCGGAGGGACAACACCCTTTCCTCCCTGGGGTGGCCCAGCTACAGTAACGTACTGTGGGGTCCGGATGCATTTCTGCCAAAAGCCACTGGGGTTCCTGAGTCTCTGGGATCATGACTGCTAAGCAACTTGATCAGGAACCAGGGAGGCCATTCGTGGGCGATGACTTGGGGTCTCTTTGGGGTGGGGAGGACAGGACCGGCTCCACCCCCATCACCTGAGGCCCTGCGTGTCTCATCACTGGGGGCCCAAACCTGACTGTCCAGTGGCCTCTGAAGGATGGCGGCCACTGGGACGCCAGGGGGAACAGGCCAAAGCACGAAACCTATTCCCACCTGGGTTGGCCCAGCACCGGTAACCTACTGCAGGGACCGGACGCATTTCTGCTAAGAGCTGTTGGGTTTTGAGATTTGTTTCTGAGTCTCTGGGATCATGGCCATTAAGCAGTTCAATCAGGAAGCAGAGAGGCCATGCCTCCAATTATAAGCTGAGCCGAAGGTGGTTTGCGGGTGTGTTTCCCACATACCTAACTTTTGGCCGTTTACTTTCTTGGTAAACTTTGCCCCAAGTTTTTGGGGTCTGGCCAAAGGCACAGCAGCAATTTTGGGGTATCTGGAAGTCTGAAGGCACCATCAGGCTGCTGATGCACTCGCCTCACAAGTACAGACTGACCTGCTGGCGGCACCATAACCCCGCTGATTAGCTGATTGAATTGGGCATGAACTCCACCCAGCCAGAATCTTTAAAACACTGTTAACCTCCAACAGAAAGCAGCCGCTTGTCTCACCAGCAGAGTGGGTTTATCTAGGAACAACAAAACCCACTTTGCAGAGTTCAGTTGGCTGCAAGACACAGCAAGCCCAGAATAAAGCCTGAATCAATTTTTTTTCCTTTTGCTTTTTGGCTCGATAGCACAGCAGTAGGGCGTTTGCCTTGCACGCAGCCAACATGGCCGACCCGAGTTCGATTCCTCCGCCCCTCTCGGAGAGCCCGGCAAGCTACGGAGAGTATTCGATATGCCAGACACAGTAACAACAAAGTCTCCAATGGAGACGTTACTGGGCCCGCTCGAGCAAATCGATAATCAACGGGAGGGCCTTTACTTACTTACTTACTTACTTGCTTTTTGGGTCACACCCGGCGATGCACAGGGATTACTCCTGGCTCTGCATTTAGGAATTACTCCTGGTGGTGCTCGGGGACCATATGGGATGCTGGGAATTGAACCCAGGTTGGCCGCATGCAAGGCAAATTCCCTACACACTGTGCTGTCGCTCCAGCCCCCGACTCAATTTTTATAGATATTTAGAGCAGCTATTGTAACCGCATTGTTATCAGGAAGAAATTGGCATCTAATGTGTGCTAGTCTTTCACCCATGTCGGGATGCTGATGCTGCATGTTGGGAAACAGTGTGACATTTCATTGGTGATGCAAGGTTGTTTTGTTCTTATATTTTGCTGACGTGTGTGTGTGTATACGAACAAACTCTTTCTGGACTCCTAGCTTCATTTAAATTTGCTTTCTGTATATATGCGTATATATGCGTATATATGTTGGTTTGGAGGCCATACATGACTGTAAGCTAGGACTTACTCATGGCGATATTCAGGGGACCATATGTGGTGCTGGGGATTGAACTTAGGTTGGCTGCATGCAAGGCAAGTGCCTTACCTATTGTACAGTCTCTGCAATACAGATTTCCGTATCTTTTGTTTGGGAGCCACACCTAGTGATGCTCAGGGCTTACATCTGGTGTTGTGCTCAAGGATCATGCCTGATGAGGCTCGGTGGACCATATGGGGTACCAGGAATAAAACCTAGATTGGCTGAATGCAAGGTCTTACCCGTTATATTGTCTCTCTGGTCCTTGGTTTCTATGTATGTTTGCAGTAGTCTGCTGGGTGGTTTCTGTGAAAATTCTATGTCTGAGAATTGCTGCTTTCAGCTTCCTGTGATTTCTGAACCAGGACCAGTGCCAACTGTGTTTGGCTCTGCAAGATGGTGACTTATGCTGCAGAGCTAATGAAGATGGAGTGCAGAAGATTCCAACCTCGAGGGTCAGATCCTGTGAGTCTGTTGGATAACACTGGCTTGTCCTTTCTACCCTGCAGGGAGCTTAGGTTTATTGAGTAACTCCCACCACAGTGCTCTGGAGACACACCCAATTCCATCAGGTGCTCCCAATCCTCTTGTTTATCTTTAACCACTCCTTTGTGCTCTCCTTCCCCTCTTGTTAATCACTTAATCACTTAACTTCCCGTTAGTCGCCCGATTTGCTCGAGCGGGCGCCAGTAACGTCTCCATTTGTCCCTGTCGCGTGCTAGTGTAGCCCAATGGCATCTGTTCGCTCCGGGAACATGAAGGGCCTCAAACCGATCGTTCATGATCTTGACGAAGAAGTCTGACCATCTGGTAGGTGGGCGGCCACGCGGTCTCTTGACATCCCGTGGAATCCAATCAGTAACAGCTCTAGTCCAGCGGTCGTCTTTAAATCTCATTACGTGACCAGCCCATCTGATTTTCGAGACCTTGGCAAATGAGACAGCGTCCCTGATCCTTGATCGTCGACGGATGTCAGAACTCCGGATTCGTTCTCTCATTTGAGTGAAACGTGATATTCCAAGCATAGCTCTTTCTATTCTTCTTTGGGAGACCTGAATGGCGTTCTCATCTTGTTTGCGTAGGGCCCAGGTCTCTGAGGCATATGTTAATGCAGGAAGAACAGTGGAATCAAAGAGATGTGCCCGGAGCTGGAGGTTCTTCGTCCTCTTAGCTATTTCAGAGGAAATATTGCTTTTCTCTTTCCTTTATGTCCCTTGCAGTTTATTTTAGTGCAATGTCCTTTTGTATAGACACAGGAAGACAGTTAATGCTATGCTTTTGTAACATGGGAGTTAATTGACTCTGAATAATATTTACTCCTTGTCACCTGTCATATTTACTTGACTTAAGCCCCTGTTGTCCTTAGTTCCAAACACCCTCAAATGGGCGTCCCTCAAGGTACAAGGATGGACCCAGGACATGCCCTAAGCTACCCTGGGTATTGAAAAGGGATAGGCTAAGTGCCATGAGAAGTGTAAGTTAAGAGTACAGTCCTGGAACAAACTCTGCCATGACCCAAAAAGAAGTAACTGGATAAGGACCCTGCTGGGGTTAGGAAAGACTAACCTGGCCCAAGACTGAGTCTGGATATATAGCGAGATGTCCCCAGGAAGAGCCCCCCTTTAAGCTTAATATGTCTCTTATTATGTCCATACAAAATGACTAGAAATATTATTAAGAAGTTAATTTAAGATGACTGTTTCAATGATACTAAGGAAAGGGGAAAACAATACACCCTTAGACGGAATTCTGACTTTTGGCCATCTCCTAGCAGGATGAGATTTTGTCCTTGAGTATCTCTTAGACCTTCACCTCAAGGAAGGGCTTTATATTTGTTCATTGTTTATAATAATGTTCATCCACACCCATGTGCAATTGCTACCCCCAACCCTTCATGATTTCTCTATAACTAACACTGTGAGACTGGAATAAATGGCCACTTACTACCAACCAGTCTGGTGATCCCCATTCCCTCCTTCGTTTGTCACTGTTGGCCAGCCGGGGTGGGGGGATAGTGATTGGTCCCAAACACATCCAGGGGACCTTGGGGCACTGCAGATGTGCCAGTGACTGACCCCACACCACCCTAGAACAGAGACAACAGTCCACCATTAACCCAGATTAGGAAATAAGAAAATAAGAAAAAACTAATAGCTGAATGTTCCAATCCCTGAATAACCCCAGATCACCTCAGCAGTATGTTGTAATTCGGGATTTCTGAGATGTTTCTCTGGCACATGTCACACTGGGATTGCTTTATCTCTAAGTTCTGACCCAAGAGTTAGATGACATATGTTGTCATTAATGTTGGGTCCATAGGGACTAGAAAGTAGGTGGGCCAATTACTTTGTCTCTAACGAGGCTCTTAGGGAGTCTTATCCCAGTGGCCATGGGAGCTATTGTAAAAACCTGTCTCTAGTTGCCCCTACATTTGTCCGCAATAGGGGGCCAAGGGCATGCACCTCTGTTCCTTACTTGCTCAGGGCCTGCCCATATTTCCAAGACTTCTCAAGTCTTATAATAAAGAGGACCATTGGCCATTTCCTCAAAGGTGAAGACAGCAACACAGCTTATCCCAGGTAAGATGGCAACAATGGTGAAGTCAGAATTTCCTAGAAGTGAGTAAGCTCCTTGAGGAATCCCGTTAAGCCTCTTAGAATCAGGGAGTCGTTGAATCCTGGGCCCATTGGCATATGCTTGTGAGAAATCCAGTTCTCACCAGCGATTTCTCTTCTCTGTGGGCTGACACAAAAATCTGGTAGTGTTAAGGGAGACTTATGCAATTGAGAGGTCTTGTATGTGTCTGTGGTTCTATGTTTATTTTATATAAAAGTTATGAAGCATCTTAGAGACCGGGGGCAGAGTGGCTGAGTGATTCTGCTCTAGGTTCATGTTGAGACTGTGGTTGGAGCATGAATTGTTGCATGTAGCCTGTAGCCATTGTGGTCTCTGACTTCTGCCTCTTTTATCTGCCTCCGGGCACAGCCCCATGCGAGGCTCCAACCAGTCGAGCGTGTCCGAGTTCCTCCTCCTGGGGCTGTCCACCCAGCCCCGCCAACAGCAGCTCCTCTTCCTGCTCTTCCTGACCATGTACCTGGCCACAGTCCTGGGAAACCTGCTCATCCTCCTGGCCATCAGTGTGGACGCCCGCCTGCACACCCCCATGTACTTCTTCCTCGGCAACCTGTCCTTTGTGGACATCTGCTTCACTTCCACCACCATTCCCAAGATGCTCACCAACCACCTCCTCGGGACTCAGACCATCTCCTTCGCTGGCTGTCTCTCGCAGATGTATTTCCTCTTCATGTTTGTGGACATGGACAATTTCCTGCTGGCTGTGATGGCCTATGACCGCTATGTCGCCATCTGCCACCCCTTACACTACTCAGTAAAGATGACACCTCAGCTCTGTGCTCTGCTGGTGGCCGGGTCTTGGATTGTCGCCAATGTGGATGTTCTCATACATACACTGCTGATGGCTCGACTGTCCTTCTGTGGGGACAATGTCATCCACCACTTCTTCTGTGATGTCACCCCACTCCTGAATCTCTCCTGCTCCGACATATACATCAATGAGATGATGATTTTTATTGAAGCCAGTCTGATCACACTTGCTCCATGTATGTGCATCTTGGTGTCTTACATTCTTATCACCTGTGCCATCCTGCGCGTCCCGTCCACACAGGGCAGGTGGAAGGCCTTCTCCACCTGCAGCTCCCACCTGGCCGTCGTCTCCCTCTTCTATGGCACCATCATCTTTCTGTATTTCAACCCTTCGTCCTCACATTCAGCGGACTCGGACATGGCAGCTGCTGTGATGTTCACTGTGGTGACCCCCATGCTGAACCCCTTCATCTACAGCCTGAGGAACAGGGACATCAAAGGAGCTCTTGGCAAAGTGATGGCTATGAAATTCTTTTTGGCTCAAAAATGAAATGGATCAAGAAATTATCTTAGGAGCTCATTTCAGTAAGTCTTACTTGCTTTTTCTGTTGTGAAACTGCATGTGTCCTTTGTAAGGCACACCTACCATTTATTATTGAACAATTGTTTTTACTTGAAAGCCAATTGAATTTTATTTTTTAAATTTTTATTTTCTCCCTATACTTTATATAAATACTGTGATTTACAAAGTTGTTCATGAAGATTTGTTACATTCAATATTCCAACACCAATCCCACCACCATTGCCCCTTCCCACCACCTCTAACGCCCACCACCATAGAAGACCCTCAGTAATTTATTTTACATTGTTATAATTTGCTAAAAAATGATCAAAAAATATTTCATCAGAAGAAAGTTAGTGAAGATTGTTGTATCTCACCACGGAGCCATTAAGCCCTTGTATAAGAGATTATTAAGATGTTATTACAGGTTAAGAAACTGTGTTGATATTTTGTTATTCTGGTTGCCTTCTACATTACCTGCCATCCAATCTGTTGTGCTACTCTTGGTTTATCAGTGTTGTAGAGTTTGAAGTGTTGCACAGCAACAAATGTGGCTGTGTGCTCCAGGAAGTTCAATTTTCTTAAGTGGGTGGTGGATTTGGGGCTTGTGTGTGACTCCCAGAATTCCAGGGAGATGGGAGATCCTTTGCAGAGCTGAGTTTTTCAGCAGATTAATTTCTGAATGAGGCTTCTCCCGAGCAGTGGAGTCTAGTCAGAAGCATGAGAGCAACTGTGGAATGGGAGGCTTTTGGCTGATGGGGCTCTGTTTGGGGAAGCACTGGACTGACCTGTTCTCTTCTGGGGTGCACAAGATGACTCTGCCTTACACAGAGTCAGGAAGAATCTGCAACTTGTTTATCTCTTTCAAGATTTATGAGTCTCTGGCTCATGGCTGGCGAATGAGCTTATATGGCACGGGAGATAAGAACAAACTCTTATGGACTCTCTAGGTTATAGAAAGAGAGGAATCTCTTTTCCTAGTGGCTTAATCATTACAGATTTCAGTGTCCTAATAGTGACCCATTAGGAACCAACCTTTGCTCCTTATAACCTGGGAGAACACAGCCTCAGGGAACAGGGAGGCAGATTTATAGGCAGGTGCTGGGCAGAACAACATATCATAGGAGATGGTGTTCAGTAACTTTGCTGAGGACTTGAGAAATTGGCTATTTGCTGTGGATCGCAGTCTGTCCCTGTGTAGGCTGGTTCTTATTTTAAGGTGTTGGTGTCTTCCTACAGATACTTTGTTTCGGAGCGAAGAGTAGGTTGAAGTGAGCCTGTGCTTGACCGTGAACAGGCACCCTTCCCATCAGCTGCCACAGGAGGCTAGGGAGCCATTTGGGGGGCTTGCACAATGCTCCAGTTTCCTGTACTCAGTCATGACTACAGAGATATATTCCATTTAGTCAAGCTGGCCTTGTCAGAGACTGATCTGAAAAGTTCTCTCTATTTTAATAAAGCACTGTGAGTGACCTGTGAGCAGCGGTTCCTCTTGTCACCTCAGAGATGTTGGTAGAAGCACATCTGATGGGAAGGGTCAGACTGGCTTTTGGACAGGAAAGGGAGGGGGCCACCAGGGTCCAAGAGACCCAATTTCTGCCATGGAATCAAGCCACATCATTTTCATCTTATCTGTGGTGTCACACAACATTACATGGGTAAGTTAAAACAAGAAGAAATCTTTTCTATAATCTCGGTGCCTTATCATAACAGTTAACAGCATTTTTTGAGCCTTCTGTACCTTTTTTCGGAACATTCTGATACTTTACACAGGTAACTAATTTTGTTTTCATGGTCTCACGTATCAAATCAAAGGCCTAGACATGCAAGGCATGTGCTCTGTCACTGAACCTCAGCTCTTGCGCCATCATAAAAAAATTATTGTCATCAAATCTTTTTCCTTACGACCTTAGTACTACTGTTGGTGTCTATAGATATTAATTTACATTCCAGTTTCCACTTTTGTAATAGTTTTTTTGATTTCTAGTCTCTATTTTACTACACTTAGATCTATATTTAGATCTTAGATCTAATAGGTTGCTCCAGCAAAATGTACTAATAATTATGTTTAAATTACTAGTGAATTTCAATGATGACAAGCGCTATATAGAATTAAAGTTTCTCTTGAAAATGGTTGTGGAAAATTTAAAAATGACACAAAACTGGTTAAAATGTCATTGAACAGGATTCCCTAGATTTTGAGTTACCAGAAGGAAAAGAGGCAGCTCCCTTTAGCTTCAGAGCGTTGAGCAGGCCCCAGAGGACACTCGGCTTCAGCAGATGACTTCCTTGGCTAAGGTTTCTGTGCTGAGACATTTCTCCAACAGAATAAACATTGGTATTTTCGATATTTAGCCTAGATATTCAAGAATGAGTCACAATGAGATGTCTGGAACTTTTATTGATAGAGTAAAAGAAATCTGGAGCCAGGTAAGTGGTCAGATGATAGAGCACTTGTCAGGCCTGTGAGAGGCTTGATGTTCAGTTCCCAGTACTGAAAGAAAATTGTGTAAACACAAAAAAGAGTGGGCAAAGGGACGGCAGCGGCCTATCTCTCCCGCCGCCCACGTTCGGTAGTCTCAGGCCATTTCCCCACTCCGGGGAGGTCTATGGTGATGGTCAGGCAAAGGAAGGAAATGAGGGCAAGGCTGGTTGGTCTCAGAAGAAGTTTATTACAAGGAAGAAATTTACGTCATGGAGGGCCCAAGATTTCCCAAGCACGTGCTCTCCAGGTACTCTCAGGCCTGTGTTCCCCATTCTTTCAGTTCTCTCAAACACATGTTCCCCAGAGAGCCCCTAAAATCTCCTTATGTAGATCATGGTACCTCTAAAGGGTGCAATACAGTAATGCCATCAAAAGGAGTTACAGGAAGAACATTGAGGCGGCAAAACATACATTGCTTCTTTACATCTGCAGGCCAGTAATTTTGGCCTCCGGAAAGAAGAAACAAAACCAAGACTGAAACCTTTCACAAGCTATAAGCACTTGGATTTGCATCCCAAAGACCAGTCTGCAAGAGCTTGGAATCTGCATCCCAAAGACAAGTATCTGAGTTTTGCATCCCAAAGACTAGCCTGCCTAGAGCCTGGAATCTAGATACCAAAGATCAGGACTGGCTAGCACCTGAGATCTGTGAGAAAAGGAAAACTGCCTCTTACAATATTCTCAAATTATTTACTGAAGGCAGTTTGAAGGGGAGAAATGTTCAGCCTCACCCAAACTAGTCAGGACACATGGGAAAGCCGCTTCTAGGACAGATTCTCATTTAGCAGATCAACCCATCCTAGGACGGAATCCCCCGGGTGTGTTTCTCCTCTCCTTGTCCAACAAATATATAAGCATACATAATATAAATCATTTTGTATGGACACAGAAATACTTTGAGCTTATAGAATTGCTCTCCTAGGGCCATCTCAATCTCAGACTACAGTGCTCAGGCCAGATAGTCTTTCCTATTCCTATCAGGGTCCTAGTCTCACTGTTAGATTTGGATCATGACAGCATTTGTTTATGATCAAACTCCTAACTTATAGTTAAGAATCGTGGCGCTTCAGCATCTCGATGCCAGGGTAGCACATAGCTTACTGCTTGCCCTGGTTCCATCCAGTCCCTCATCGGGACCCTGCTTTTGGGGGGCGCTAGAAAGTGAGGGCAACTGAGGCTTAAGTTGAGAAAGCAGATGCCCGGGAGTGAATAATATTCAAAGCCAATTAAATCCTAAGTTACAAAGTAATATTGTTTTCCTGTATCTAAACAAAAAGGACGTTGCATTAAACTATTCAAAAGACATAAGGAGAGGAGAAAGGCAGTATTAACTTCCAGTATAAGTTCAGTGTCCTAGGAGGATCTGACCTTACAAATTAACAGATTCTGATTAGGGGAAAAGCTGATTAACTGGTTGGGGAAGAGAGCATAGAAGTGGCTACAGATAAAGGAATGGAAGTGACTCGGGAGCACTGTGATGGGTGCAACCTGATAAACTTAAGCTCCTTGTATTCCAACAGAAAATAAAAAAAGTAAGGAAAACTAAAAAGAAAGGAAGTCTTTTCTTTTGGTACTCTAATATTAGATGCTTAATTATAATTGTTACACATATTCTTAATGATTGATTCTTTTATTATTGTAATATGCAACATTTTGTTTAAAAGTATAGTTTGGGGGCTGGAGAGATAGTACAGTGGGTAGGGCACGTGCCTTCTATGTGGCACCCCAGTTGGTTCCCTGAACCCTGCCAGGAGTGATCCCTGAGTACAGAGCCACCAGTAAGCCTTGAGGATTGCCAGTATGGCTCCCCCCAAATCAGTGTAAAAATAAATACTAGGAATCAGCTCAACACAGGATGTCAGAGACTACACATTGAAAACTACAGGTCAGTACTGAAAGGACACCAGGAAATGGAAAAATATCCCATGTTCATGGATTGGAAGAATTCAGTGTCTGGATCACTGGCCTGTCCACATCAGGGCCTGAGGAGCCAGCCCCCGTGCCTCCTGTCAGTGCTGACCATGCTGGTGCCTAAGCAAAGTACCACATGGAAAGTGCTTGCTTGGCATGCAGCCAACCCAGATCTGATCCCTGATCCCTGCCATCCACTGGTTCCTCAGTCCCAACTAGGAATGACCCATGAGCAGAGTAAAAAAAAAAAAAAATATATATATATATATATATATATATATATATATATATATAGATATAGGTTGGGAACTCACCTTGCTTTCTACCTGGAACAAAAGCAAAACAACGCTGTTCTTGGGATATTAAACCGGGATCCTTTACCCCATTGCTGTCTCCCTGAGCTTTATTTAAAAAAATTTTAAAAATATTTTTATTTTCTGCTCAGGGGTTATTGCTGGCACTGCTTATGAGACCATATGGGATGCCAGAGATGGAACCTGGGTAGGGCTGCGTGTTCACATCCAAGGAATTATCTTTACTCTCTCTCCAGCCCAAGCCTTATTTTTATTGAAAATACCGTTTTTGGCCACACCTGACAGTGTTCGATAGGCACCACTCCTGATGCTCCCTGTGGTGCGCAGAGGACCATGTGCTGGGGATCAAACCCGGGATCCTGAGCATGAATCTGCTCCAGCCCTATTTTTCATTTCATTAGAACAAATTTTATTATAGAGCCGGAACAATATCTAGTACAGCGTGCAAGGCACTTACCTTGCTTGTGGCTGACCCAGGTTGGATCCCTTGTACTCCACTGACTCCCCTGAGCCTGCCAGGAGTGATCTCTAAGCAGTACCAGGTAGGGCTTAAACACCAAGAAAAAACATTTATCTTGAATCTTTTATGTAATATGGTTTCATAGTGTTCAAATTTTGTATTGATGGACAAAATGCTCAAAACCCTTTCCCCTTATGCCTGTATTTTGTCTAAATTTTTGTCTTAAAGATTCTGTTTAGTATGCATAGCAGTGTTGTGGGCTCATTCCTAGTGCTCATTGCTGGTAGGGTATTGCTGGGGGTGGGTAGGCCAGGGACTGAATGCAGGGTATTGGTGCAGGCCTGGGGTTACGGTGGGCAGGCTAGGGACTGAATGCAGAGCCTCAGTGCAAGGCCTGGGCTCTCCTGAGTACATGCCCAACGCACGGTTGTTGGTTTTAAAAAAGTTTTGGGGAGGCTGCACTGAACAGTGCTCTGGGATCACTCCTGGCTCAGTTCAGGGAATCATAGGGGGTGCTGGGGACCAAACCTGGTAGTCCCAAGTTGTACAAATTTTACTAAAATTATTGACTACATTAAGAAGTTATGAAAAATTAGGAGGGTTAAGTGAAACGGCTAGTTTCACAAATGTATAATTGTCAACATGAGTAATAACTAGAAAAAGTAAAGCTTTGTAACAAATATATACATCTTACTTGAAAGAACATAATTTTTGTGTTTTGGGACCACACCCAACTATTTACCAGGGCTTACTCCTGGCTGTGCACGCAGGGATAACTCCGAGTGGGTTCAGGGGGTCATATTGGGTGCCAGGGATGAACTTGATTTGCTACATGCAAGGCCAGACCCCTAACTGTTGTACTGTGGCCAGCCTCTCAAATAGCTTTTGTTTTTTGAGGCCACACCCAGTGGAACTGAGATTACTCTGGCTCTGTGCTTGGGTCACTCCTGGAGGGCTCAGAGAACCATAATGAGAATCGAACCCGGGTCAGCTATGTGTGAATAAAGTGCCCGACCTGCAGGACTCTCTCCAGTTCCACAAATATACTTAATGGCTCATTTTTAGAACTCTATGGGAAACACTCCACCGACTTACTCAATTCCAATAAAAATACTAATTAAAAAATTTGGGAAACCTGAAAAGAGCAAAACTGACCATTTACCACAGGATTGGTTTCACTGAGGTATCACGAACTTTGCCTCTCAACAGACAAACACGAAGAGCTGGGGACAAATATCCACCTCCCTGAAGACTGGACTCCTGTCTCAGGAGAACCACTGTGCGTCAGCCATTGGAAACCTATTTCTAAAAAGCTACTTTGTTTGGTAGGGATCACCTGACATTAAAGGTCTTAAGAATGCTTAGAAGGAAATCAAACTTCTGGTCAGGTCTGACAAACTGTGGGTTCAGGCTAAAATCTTTTGACCTCTCCCCTCCAGGCTCTTGGATTTCCTCCTTATCTCAGCCCAGGAACAAGATTCCATCTGAAGGGTTTTTCCTGTGGTGGAATTGGGTAGCCATGCCTGAATTATCAAAAAATCCAAAAATCCCTTTGGCAAAGATAAGGCATGAGAGGGAAATATCTGAACAATTAGTATTTGAACAAAATACAGTATGAACAGTAAATAATTTTAATCATGTTGTGAAAAGGATTTTTGTAAAAGCCACTTTTTACCAAGTACAGTATTAAAAAAATGGACTATTAAATCAGATAAACTAAAAAAGTCTTTGACATTCAATTGCTGAATTTTCCTGTAAATAATCCCATTAAACGCTCAAGCTGTCTTGTTATTTTCAGAGACATGTGAATTGTTATAGCTGATGGCTTCACAAACAGCAGTTTGGCTTTTTCAGGGGAGCACAGTACCAGATAAAGATGGTTACATTGCTTCTTTCATCAAGTGTGAATTTATGTGAATGAAAAAAGTAGATGTACTTTCAGTCCACAAGTTGCTCTGTTCCCGTTGCAAGAAAAGTGGCATCCTGTTCAAAGCCTTCTGGAAAAGCATCTGCTCTGTACACTGTTGGGAAATCTCACACGCACTTAGTCAACAAGCCCGGATGCTAAGTGAGGTATAGCCCTTGACAATGTTCTCTGCACTGTGAGTTTTCTAAGAATCTGAGGTTTGAGCCAAGACAGGTATATACCCAGTTTTGTCTATAATGAGGTCTTCACGTATTTCTCTTTCCAGGAAGCCTGGAAAATCTAGAATTCCTTATGAAACAGTTCAAGTTGAGACAGGACCATCAGACCTTTCCCGATTCCACTTCTGCTTCTGGTTCTTACTTACAGAGTGTATTTTTTCATGACGGGTACAGTTTGACAGCCGAGCAAATCGTCTCCCACATTTTCTGCAACTGTATGGCCTCTCAGCTTTATGACTCTGCAGATGAACCACAAATTCTTCATTCCCTCGGAAGGTTTTCCCACATTCTGGACACTTAAATATCTTCTCTCGTACGTGAATTTCTTCATGGCGACTCCTATGAGAATTCTGACGAAATTTTTTCCCACACTGAGAACATGAATAAGGTTTCTCTCCTGTATGGATTCGCTCATGCTTATTAAGGTTTGTTTTATGATTGAAGCTTTTCCCACAGTGACTACAGTCATAAGGTTTTTCTCCAGTGTGAGTCCTTTGGTGGGCAATAAGGTAAGAACTTTCATTAAACTGTTTACCACACAGTGGACAAGTGTGCCATCGTCTTGTTCTCTGATTTCGAGTTAGAGCTATAATGCTGATATCCACATACTTTGAGAGTTCCTCTAATGGAGTATCATTTTCAATTGTAATTAAAAGATTTCTCATTTTCCTTTCCTTTCCAATGGATGTGGTTTGTTGTTTTTCTTCTTCACTGCAATTTGAAGGTTGCTCAGAGACTGTGATATAGTCCATTTCATCACAGTCAGATAACTTTTCTCTTCGATCTTCATTTTCTACAGATTCTTTTTGAATTTCTTCATCCTCAGGACTACTATCATTAACTGTCAAAAAAAAATAGTAATTTTTAAGAAAGATATACTTGGCAAGAAAAAACTTCCATAAAACAATCATCTTCCATAAAAGTCACCTTGAAAGAAATCTGAGAACAGGCAGATTAACTGTGACCAAGACCCTTCCTCACTCAAACCCAAGGTATGATGCACGACAGAGTTTTAATTCCCACAGTGAAAGCATACAAATGCGCTTGATTTTTCCTGTGGAGGGATGGAGACGTAGGATCACACTCTGCAGTGCTCAGGGGCTATTTCTTGCTCTGTGGTGCTTGGGGATCAAACTGGGGTTGGCTGCATGCGAGGCAAACACCTTATCTCTCTGGCCCCAACCATTTTATTTTTTTGGAGGGCCATACCTGGTGATGCTCAGCAGTTACTCCTGGCTTTGCACTCAGGAATCACTCCTAGAGTGGTCAGCAGACCATATGGGATGAACACAGGTTGGCCCAACCACTTAATATTCAAAGGCCTAAGTGAACAGTAAGCTGAATTACTTCTGGCTGGGTTTTAAATACATTCAGTATTACAGCACTAGGTAATATCATAGTACTCTGATTTTTAAAAAGCTGGAAAAAAATTCAGTTAACCAAATCTAAAGAAACATACCGTATTCACATAATGGAGTCTTACTTAGGCATTCAAGAGATTACTGTATCTAATCAAATAAAATTATGGCAGAAATCTGTATTGGTGTTTTGGGAAAAAGCAGGGGAGCAAAAATCTGATAGGGTAGGAGACATATGGACTTCAGAAGTACTAGAAACTCTAAGTGGTATTTAGACAAATATTCACTTTTTTACAAATCTGAGCTAAATTTTAGGGCCACAGAGGATAGGGCATTTGCCTTGCAGTGGCTGACCCAGGTTTGATCCCCAGTACCCCATATGGTCTCTCGAGCACACCAGGAGTAACTCAAACCGAGCACTGCCGGTGTGGCTCAGAAACAAAACAAAATTAAAATCTGAGCTAAATTTTATGATTTGTAGATTTATAGTTTCTGTATTCTTCAAAATACACACACACACACACACACACACACACACACACACACAACAAAAACGATTAGGTGATAATAAAAGTAAAAAAAAAAAAACGGGGCTGGAGAGGGCATTTGCCTTGCATGCGGCCAACCTGGGTGTGATCCCCAGTTTCCTACACGGTCTTCCAAGTACCACCAGGAGAAATTCCCGAGTGCAGAGCTAGGAGTAACCCCTGAGCATTGCCAGGTGTGGCCCAAATACAAAACAAACAAGCAAATGAACAAAAAAGAACCCAAATTTTCTCCTTTTTAATTTTCCCCTCAGAATAAGGAAAATGCTGGCCAATGATCATGTCAGTTTTTATCACAGTTCCTAATATAAACTGCAATACTGTTTTCTAGAGATACATAATGTAAATGTCACAATTTATGTCACTAGTAGATATAATTTAAATATATTTAATAGGTAGAAAATGTTCTCATTGTTTTTTTCTTTTCTTTGGGGAGGGGGTCACATGGCAATGCTCAGGGGTTGAATCACTCCTGGCGGTGCTCAGGGAACCATATAGGATGCCGGGGATCGAACCTAGGTTGGTCGCAAGGCAAACGTCCAACCCACTGTGCTATTGCTGGCTCCCTTTTTCATTGAGTGGAGTGATAGCACAGCAGTAGGGCGTTAGCCTTACAAGCGGCCAACATGGCTGACCCAAGTTCGATTCCTCCGCCCCTCTTGGAGAGCCCGGCAAGCTACCGAGAGTATCTCGCCCGCATGGCAAAGCCTGGCAAGCTCCCCGTGACGTACTCGATATGCCAAACACAGTAACAAGTCTCATGATGGAGACGTTACTGGGCCCGCTCGAGCAAATCAATGAACAACGGGAGGACTGTGACTATGAAAACTAGTTTATCAATCAGTATATCAATTGTTGATGATTGATACCGAAGTCTTCCTTTATAATATCTCCCTATTTGATAAAGTTTTATTCTCTTGTGGCCACTGTTATTTTTATAGCTAATATATTTGGATTTCAGTATACTAATTTGTTTTCTGACATTCTAGTATTGGTAAGACTACCCAGAATACTCATTACCTTTTTAAAAACTGTTTATTCTAACTGGATTTGGAAAACACTGCTGTCTTCACATGGCTTCTTTCCACAGAGCTGTCTCTCCATTATCTTTCACATTTGCCAACAAAACTGACTTTACTGATTTCAGAACTGTTTCGAATGACAGCTTTCATTATTTTTTATTAATTTACGAGTGCTGGCGCCAGACAGATAGTACAGAGGGGAAGATGCCTGCCTTGCACGTGTCTAACCTGGGTTCAATCCCCAATGCCTCATGTGGTTCCCTGTCTTACAAACCAAATTGGAAACTCATAAACAGGAGAAATAAGCCCCATGAATCTCTGTATTGAGGATTTTTTTCTTTTTTTGCTTTTTGGGTCACACCCAGTGATGCACAGGGGTTACTTCTGGCTCATGCACTCAGAAATTACTCCTGGCGGTGCTTAGGGGACCACTTGGGATGCTGGGAATCGAACCTGGGTTGGCCGCATGCAAGGCAAACGCCCTACTCGCTGTGCTATCGCTCCAGCCCTGAATCTTTGTACTGAATATTAACTCTGGATAACTTCCGAATCCTGAGCTGACTGAGGAAAAACTAATATTCATAGCAGAGCCCCATATTGGACTGAAAGTCAGGAGTACCCTGAGCGCCGCCGGCAATGGCCCAAATCAAAAACAAAACCAAAACGCCACACATGAACCTGGTCTACCCAAAGTCGCTTCCCGGTTGGGGACCTCCTTTGCCTTTCCCTTCTCCTTTCCAATGAGCCTAAACGAAAGGATGCTGTTGCTTCTCGGTGTGTTATTCCCCCTCAGCTGTCTCCCTTCTAGCAGGGTCCCATCCGGAGTGTGTGGAAAGGAAACAAACTCAGGACCCCGGCACATGAAGACTCACATCTGTATATTCATTTCCTTTAGACTTCTCAAATACTGTATTTTGTCCCCTTCCCTTTTTTAGTATCTATTCATCTTTTACTTATTTCCTTCTTTGTGTTCTGCATGGAGGCCCAGATTGGTCCCCGGTACCGTACGGTTCCCTGGGAACCTCCAGGTGCTGTCCTGAAGCCTGACTGAGCCAGGAATAGCTCCTAAGCACTACAGATGTGGCCCCCACCTCAAACAAATTATTGCTAATGACTCAAAAAAAATTTTTAAAAACATGGAAAAGGACCCACTGGGACTTACCCCCAAGGATTTCATACATCTCCCAGACATACTATTCTTTATTAGTTTATTTTTTTCCCCTTTATTTTTGGGGTTTGGGCCACACCCAGCAGTGCTTAGGATTTACTCCTAGCTTTGTGTTCATGGATCACTCTTGGCAGAGCGCAGAGTGCCAGAGATTGTACCAGAGTGGTGCCACGTGCAAATCAAGCACCTTACCTGCTGTACTATCTCTGCCCCTGTTATTTCCTTAAAAGGGTGAGAGGAACATTTGGACCATGCCTGACAATGTGTAGGGGTTACTCCTTGCTCTGTGCTCAGGAGCTGAGACCAGTGCTGCTCAGAGGACCGTGTGGTGCCAGAGATTAATAGGGCTGGACACATGCAAGGTAAACACCCAACCACTGTAGTTTGCTCTGGCTCTATTAGTTTTCAAAAGTGAAGAAAGGTCGTTTTGTTTTTTCCTTTTTTTCTTTCTGTTGTTTTTGGGTCACACCCAGCGGTGCTCAGGGGTTAGTCCTGGCCCTGCACTCAGGGATCACGGGACATGGGCTCACGGGACCACAGAGTGTGCCAGGGATCAAATCCAGGTTGGCCCTCTGCAAGGCAAGTGCCCTATCTGCTGCTCCAGCCCGACAAGCAAGACTGAGATTGTTTCTCCTGAATAAAACTGACTCAGACTTGCGGGGAAGACCTGGAACAACAGCACAGTGTGGAAGGTGCTTGGAGAGATGGATTCTCTTAAATGTTTTTATAATTAATACAATACTTATTTGTACTTTTTTGGAGGTCCACTCCCACTGTTTCACATTACAGATGGTGATGGCTGTTGAGGAAAAGAATGCTATTACAGGTGTCAGCACAGAAGACTGCTGCTTGACTTAGACTGCCTGATCTGGGTTCAATTCCCAGCACACCATGCTGTTCCCAGAGCCCTGCCAGGAATAATCTCTGAGCAGAGCCAGGAGTAAGTTCTGAGGACCACCAGGGACGCCCTCCCCTCCCCACCGAAGAATGCTATTAAGCAAATGTATTTATTACTACTTTCACCCTGCTCACTTTTACTGGGCAGGCGGCTAGACTTGGCGATGTTCAGGGGTTCCTCCTGGCTCTGCACTCAGGAATAACTCCTGGCGGTACGCAAGGGCCCATATGGAATGCTGGGGATGGAAGTCAGTCAGCATCCTTCCCGCAGTGCTATCTCTCCAGTCCCCCTCTCACCTTTTTATGTTAGTAACTTGTCTTTTAATTTTTTAAATTAAATCACAGTGATATAAATGGTTACAAAGTTATTCATATTTGGGTTTCAATCATATATGAGTAACTTGTCTTACAAACCAAATTGGAAACTTATGAAGAGGAGAAGTAAGTCCTATAAATTGTACTGAATATTAACTCTGGATGATAAGTTTAGAATTCAGGGCTGACTGAGAAAAGCTTAAGTAGTATTTATGACAGTGCCCTGTTATCCAGGTTCACTGTAAGCTTTCAGGTATTTGCAATTTTGTTTTGTTTTGGGCTACATTCCATGGTGCTCAGGGCTTACCCTGCTCTGTACTCAGGGACAGGCTTGAGAGGGCTCGAGAGACCATATGTAGTACTGAGGGTCAAACCCAGGTCGGCCCTGTGCAAGGCAAACACCCTACCCACTGTAATATCTCTCAGGCGCCCAACTTCAGCAAATTTCTTAACTTTTCTCTGCTTTAGTTCTATTATCTGTAGAATAGTAACAATTCTTATACTTACATAATAAATCCAAAGTATTTAAAGCAGTGCCTATTATAAAAGCACATAGTGCTTTTTTTCGGGCTGGAGCGATAGCACAGCAGGTAGGGTGTTCGCCTTACAAGCGGCCAACATGGCCAACCCGAGTTCGATTCCTCCGCCCCCTCAGAGAGCCTGGCAAGCTACCAAGAGTATTCGATATGCCAAACACAGTAACAACAAAGTCTCCAATGGAGACGTTACTGGGACCGCTCGAGCAAAATCGACGATCAACGGGAGGGCCTTTACCTTTACCTTATAGTGCTTTTTAGGTGCTCCAAGAGTAGGGTATATTTTTACGTGTTGTATTAGTAGACTTCACAGCCACTGAATATTATAACAAAATCAAACCCCTGGGAGCTAGTGAGACAGCTCAAAGGGCTAAAGGTACATCACTGCTACTGCATGACCTCCTGAGCAAGCTGCGAGTAGTTGGGTGGGCCCCATGATCACTAGGGGAGATGCCTAAAAAAACGAGACTGGGGACAGGGATGTGGCTCAATGGTAGTCGAACACTTGTTTCTTCTGGGTAAATCCCTGGCACAAGAAGAAAGAAAAAAAAAAAGAGTCGATAGCACAGCAGGGAGGGCGTTTCCCTTGCACGCAGCCAACACAAGCTGACCCGAGTTCGATTCCTCCGCCCCCCTCAGAGAGCCCAGCAAGCTACCGAGAGTATCTCGCCTGCATGGCAAAGCCTGGCAAGCTACCTGTGATGTATTAGATATGCCAAACACAGTAACAAGTCTCACAATGTTACTGGGCCTGCTCGAGCAAATCGATGAACAATGGGAGGACAGTGACAGTGATGGAATACATACATGAATTAAGACATACCTGTCATGAGAATAACACTGGGCCCATGAAATGGATTTGGAAACAGTCTGCCTGTGTCTTCTTGCTAATACCTCAAACACAGGACCTCCTAAGAGAAGCTCTTGAAATACTAGGGAAATGACCATCTACAACTGAAGTTGGCTCTACCACAGTAATAATAAAAAATTAAGCATGTGTGCCCATGCGTTTAGCTGGTAGAACGTTTCTTAAGAGTCTGAGATGGGGCTGAGAAGTAGCTCAAAGGGCTATGGGGAGTTCCAGGTTTGATCCCTGGTACTGCACGGTTCCTCTAAGCACTGTGCTGAGAGTAAGCCCTGAACACTGCCAGCTGTGCCACCCACCAAAAAGAAAAAAGAGTGAGATAAAGTAGAACAGAAGGTATTTCTCATAGCTTTCAACCTGAACATGCAAGGGACTAGATTTCTTACCCAGTAACATCATCTCCCCCACATTTTCTTCTTCCTTCTCTGCGGTGGGCTGATGAGCAGAATCCAGGCTCACACATTCTTCTTGGGAATGAAATACATTCAAATCCTCCAAGACTGCTAGCCCCTGAAAGAGCACAGGTCCCCTTCCCTTAGTAACAGAATATCCATGACATCCTCACGGAAAGGAGGTCTAAGACCCAAACATCAGGGAGAAGAAGACAATAGAGTACCGACGGGAAAAACAGTTCTGGGAGGAAGCAGAAGACAAAACCCCTGGAGGTAGCAAAGAAGAAGGCTGCTGTGGGGTTGGTGTGCCAGGTGCAATGGGCAGGGAGCTCGCCTCGCACGCATCTGACCTAGGTTCAATCCGAGGCATCACAAACGTTCCTCCGAATCCCACTAGGAGTGACCCTGAGCACAGAGCCAAGAGTAATCCCCAAGCACTACTGGGTGTACACACTTAAAACAAAAAGATAATGTTGTTCTTCTTTTGTTTTGGGGCCACACCTGGCTGTGTTCAGAACTTCCTCCTGACTGCACTCAGGGGTTCCTTCCTGGAAGGCTCGGCGAAACAAACGGGGTGCTAGGGATCAGTCTTGGGTGGGCAAGGCAAGCGCCCTACCGCTGAACCATCACCTTCCCCACTCTCTCCGGCTCCCAGGCTACTCTTCTTACTGAATCTCAAGAGTGTGCTCCCATCCGTGGTCTGGCAGAATGGGAAGAACGTCGAGGGGAGAACATGATGCACTCTAACAGTGAAAAAGGGACGAGGAAACCCACCTCAGACTCGGCTTTCAGACACGGAGGAGGTGCTCTGTCCTGTTTCTGCTGTGTTCCTTCTCTGGGAAGAAGTTTCACTAATGGGTGAGGTTGCACTGAGGACAGAGGAAGCCGGAGTTAATGGATAAGTCAGTGACGCATAAACTACCCACACCTTGAAGCCTGGTTGTACTTTCTTTTTCAGGAAACATAACAAGTCTTCAGCTGTTCCTGTGAGCAGTCAGTCACCATGCAATAAACTTCAGGATCTTGAACATACATGGGGTTCCCTCAGTATGAACATCAACAACAACAAAGATTGCTCTGAGCACTCTTGAAAATTCCCATAAAGGTTCAATAAAGGAGACTGGAGGTGTTATTCTCTGGCTTTACACATACTCAAAATACACCAACACAAAAACACTTCCCAGGGCCAGAGAGATACACAGCAGGTGCTTGCCTTGCATCTTGCTGACCTGGGTTTAATCCCTGGCACCCCATATGGTTCCCTGAACACTGCTAGGAGTGATCCCTGAGCACAGAGTCAGGAGTAAGACCTAATCACAGGTGGGTGTGGTTCAAAACCAAACCAAAACAACAAAAACTCCCCACTTCCTTTCTCCAACATGTTGATGCATTCAATTATCTACCATACTCCTAACTCGTTATTGACAAGGAAGCCTTTATTGGCTTCAGTACCATCCCCTTCTCTTTCAGCTAAACAGCTTGTGCTTCTTACCTCTGTTCTGACCGTCTGAGTTCACATCCTTCATAACTACAGTGTCCTTGGCTTTCCCACTGGGCTGGAACAATCCTGGCTTAGGCAGGGAAGTGAGGAAGTGCTCCAAGACGAGCTGGTGTATGGTCTTGGGTCCACCAGTAGCATCTCGGAGCAGGTCCTGGCCCAGCATGGAGTTTGGGGGCACTCTCAGTATGAAGGAACGTTCCGGCTTTGGGGGCAGAGGGACCACTTTTGCGGCCATTCTGTCGCACAACCACACTCGTTTCTACTGATCTTAAAGGGCCAGCTCTTATGGAATCCGTTTGCCAGGCTGCGGGAGAGAAACCTTGGTCACCCACAAGATCGGACTCGCGTGATCTCGAGGACGGGGCTCGGGTAGTGGCGCTACATCGGACGGGTGAGATAATACACTATAACGGGCAGGGAACGCACGGCTGACACGGAAGGTCGCAGAGGGACATAAAGGAAACCGTCGAGACGGCAAGCCCAGATTAAAGAGGGTCGAGGCCGGCGGCGGGCCAGGGAAGCTGGAAGTGCAAACTCCACTTCCTGTTTCCCAGGGGGCCCGTGCTGGGCGAAGGGGGCGCGAAGACCCCCGATGTGGAGTCCACGACCAAACGAGCGCTCGGCTCGCTCTGCCGGGGCTGCGCGACGGGCACCTACGGGCGAGTTCCTGTCCGCCCCCGCAGCCCCGTGAGGGCGGCAGGGATCACCCGGGGCCGCCGCCGCTGCCCCCGGGCACCTTCTCCGCAGCGCCCGGCCTGCGGCCCCGCCGGCGGCGGCCCACGTTCCGCTCTCCACCGCCCGCCTCGGCCGGGAGCCAGCCCGCGGGGCGCCTCACCTCTCGGGGCCGCCGGCGATCGGCGCTGGCGGGGAGCCCGAGCCCCGAAAGCGGCGCGTGGAGCCGATCTCTCCCCTCGCCCTTCCGAGTGTCCTCGCGGGCTCCGCGCGACCACTGGAGAGTGCCGCCGTCAGTTGAAGAGACCGGCGAGGGCGCGGTGCCTGCTGGGAGTCGGGCGCCGGGCTGCCGCGACGTCACATCCGGCCTGGGCTTCCGGTGCGAAGCCTGGTCTCCCCGGTCGGAGCCCGCGGTCGGCCCCGGGGAAGCGGAGGCTCGCGGCCGCCTGACGGAGTTCCTCGGGGCGGTGGGCGCGAGGCCGGCGGGAGGCTGGGCTGTCGGCAGCCACGCTCTCCGTGGCTCTGCGGAAAGGACGACAACCCGGCGGCTACTCCCCGCGCCCCTGACGGGCTGGCGCCGCTCCAGGTACAGGCTGACCAGCTCCCGCGCCTGCTGGGAAATGTAGTTTGATGTCAGACAGCCAATGGGAGGCCTCTGCGAGCGGCGGGACGCCCTGCCCCCTCGCCGGAACTACCGGAAGTGGGTGCGTCCCTCGCCGGACGTGGGTGCTTCTCTGACCGGAAGTGGTGGTAGGGGTGCTTCTCAGGCTCTGCACAGGTCCTTCGCGGTTTCCTTCGTGACGTTCCGCGCCCGTCAAAGGGCTGCGGAATGCATAGGGCCCCGAAGCTGCTGCAACTCCGGGCCCAACCCCGCGCCGTTTCCGTCAGCGACCAGAGCCCGTCCATCTCTTGCGCCTCCTGCAAATTTCTGCACGGATGCCGTTTTCTACCAATTTCTAGTCCTTCGAACTTGGTGCGATACTAAGTTCCTTTCTCAGCGTTGTACCTGTGCTCTGCAGTTTCTGTTGTGTGGCGCTGATCCAGGGTTGAGATAAGCATAGTCGCTGCAAACCTCTGTGTAACACCAGCAGAGTAGCAAAAATACAAGCATAAATGAGTGCTTTCCTGTTTTAGTACTGTGTGATTCATAGCTAATTAACTCGCCAAGGCTGACGTTATAGAGAAACCAGTGTCAAAACTGTGTGGCACTCAGACTTCCAGACATCAGAATTAATAAATAGCTCCTACGCTTAAAAAATAGAGAGGGGGCTAGAATGATAATACAGCTGATACAGCTTGCCTTGCACACACAGACACAGGTTCCTCCTGGGCACTCTACATAGTCCCCAGAATTCTCCAGGAGTGACCCCTGAGCTGGGAGCAAGTTTAAGCCGTAAACACCGCAGGTGTGGCCCCAAAACAAAAAAAAAATTCCGGAGGCCAAAGTGGTAATAAGCTAATAACTAATAAGGCACCTACTTGGCATACTGCCAGTCTGGGTTCAAGCCCAGAGCCAGGAGTAAACCCTGAGCACCTATAAATGCTGTCCAACTCAAGCAAAAAAAAAAAAAATCAAAACAGGTAAGAGTCAAATATGTAAGAGTGTGGGGAAATTGGAACCTTGATATATATTGCTGTTGGGAATGTAAAACAATCCAGCCACTTTGGGAAAAGTTCGGCTTTGGAAAAGTTCTTGAAGTGTCAACATAGAATTGATTACTGTAGGGGGCTGGAGCGATAGCACAGTGGGTAGGGCGTTTGCCTTGCACCCAGCAGACCCGGGTTCGATTCCCAGCATCCCATATGGTCCCTTGAGCACCACCAGGAGTAATTCCTGAGTGCAGAGCCAGGAGTAACCCCAGAGCATCGCTGGGTGAGACCCAAAGAGCAAAAAAAAAAAAAAAAAAAAAAAAAAAGAATTGATTACTGTATAATCCACCAAAACACAAGAGAACTATAAATGTATATGAAAACTTGAACACACATCAGCATTATTCTTCAGAACAAAAAAACAGAACCAGCCAGATAATTACAAAGTGATGGTTATATACAGGACAATATATCCATAAAGTGAATGTTTAGTAGTAAAAAAGGAATGCGGTACTAATTCTTACTCTTCTCTATTTTGTGGGGGGAGAGGGAGGGACCCCTGGCTGTACCTAGTGAGGCCTTACTCCTGGCTCTGCCCAGGCATCACTCCTGGTGGAGCTCAGGGTTCTTTATGGTGGGCTGGGGATCAAACCCAGCTTGGCTTTTGTGCAAGGCAAGCGCCCTACCCACTGTACTACCCGTCCTGCCCCTCAAGTACTAACTCTTGACACGATGTAGGGGAACCTTTAGAGCATAAAAAAACTAAGAAGCCAGTCCCAAGAGACCCTTGCTGTGTGGCTCTGCTTCGTGTAATGTCTGGATTAGGCAAATGCAAAGACATGGAAGTTTATTAGTATTTGCCAGTGACTGGAGGAGGAGAGAAAGGGCAGTGACAGCTAATAGGGAGGTGGTTTGTTTAGGGGTGATGAAGGTCTCTGGAATTAATGTTGGTGTTTTCATTTATTGAAACATACTAAAAATCACAAAATTATATACTGTAGAAGGGTGACTGTTACTGCATTAGAATCAATATCGATAAAACTGGCACTGGACAGGGAAGTTCATGTCTAACAGAGAGAAATGTTTACTCCCTGTAGTGTTTATGAAGTAACACTGCAGCAGCTGGGGAGCTTGGTTTCACTGTGCCATACAGTACAGTGAAGTTCTGTGGAATGAAGCAAAGTAACAGGAATTTTGGAAAGTTTCACAGGCTCACAGTGAAATTGAGTACGTTAAAATACGTAGGTGTAAGGGGCCAGAGAGATAGTACAGGGGTAAGGTGTGTGCTTTGCATGAGGCTGACCTAGGTTTGAACCCCAGCACCCCATATGGTCCCCCAAGCCCCTCCAGGAGGAAACCCTGTCTAAAAGTTGAGTATGGCTTTAAAAAAGTGAAACTCCATTACATTGTTGTTAGATAAGCAACAGTTTTAAAATGACAGACATTACTTTTGGCATAAAACATCTCATGAGGGATCATATGGGCTGTAGCAGGTGATATTAGATAGTTTTCGTTCTGGACACTGTGGAATAATTGAGAAAATATGTATTTGGGAAGGCAGTAGGAAATATGGCCAGGCCATTCAGGGAAAGGCTGTGGGAGTTAGTAGCGTTGGGGCACAGCCTCACTGTGACACTTGTGGGTTATGCCAGTACAGTGGGACTCCGTGAAGAACACACAGCTTGGTACCCGAGCCACAGCACAGAGGGAGCATGCTTGCTTTGCATGCGGCTGACCCGGGTTCGATCCCTAACACCCTCTACGGTCCCCATCCTTCCATGAGTAATTTCTGAGTGCAGAGCCAGGCATAACCTCTGAGCATCGCCAGGTGTGGCAAAAAAACTAACAAGACTAACAAGCAAAAAGAAAACACAAATTGTATTCCTGGTTATAACCTTGGAGAATTTGACTTTTTTGGCGCTAGTGAAAATGGAAAGAGGAGTTAGGGTGGGGGGTCTTGGGGTTTAATCTTCAATCGAGTTTTCTTCTTTTACGTCCTATCTCTGAAGATCTCTTTAAATCGTGTGTGAGCGAGAGCGCCTGATATTCGACAGGCCAGCCTGTAGACAGATGAAGGCAGAATAGTCTCACTGGAATGTCTGGCAGCCCCAGCTCGTTCGTGGGGGTAGTGGGGAAACGGGATCTCACAGCGAGTGACCATTCCCGATGCATTTTCTCGTTGCTCCAGCCATGAGCCCCAACCAGTGCTTCCTGGAACCTCAGTTTATTAATCCAGGTATGAAAGCCCCAGAAAGGAGAGACATAGGGGTCCATCGGGGGTGGGGGTCTGAGGGAAAACAGCCAAGATGGCTCTGCCTCTGAAACGCCAACGTTGCTGGTTCTCATGAGCATTTCCGAATCCTCCATCACGCGCTCCCTCTAGAATAGCTCCTCTTCACCTTGGTTGTTCAAGCTGGCCTGCTTCTGTGGCTCCTCCTGTTTTGCAGCAGAGCTCAGTCATGTCAAGGTACAACGCCAAGAGCACGGAGCCCTGCAGTATTCAGCGGGGTCCCCAGCCACCGACTGGATGGATGGTCAGAGAATCCATGTTCTTGCCTCCATCGCACAACCTGGGGCCGAAGACAGGATGAAGGGGCTCAGAGGAAGAGAAGCCGGTGAGTGTGTCGATGTGGGATTGGCCAATCACACTGTGAAAGGAAAAGCCGTATAGTCCAGAAAGATGCCCAGCACCTGCTTCCAGCTTCACGGGTGGGGGTGCTGATGCTCCTCTTGCCTCCTTACCAGCACCCAAAGGGTGTCGTTCTCTGGGGACTGCCAGGCTAGCCTTCCCACTTGTGGAGGCCTGGCAGAGCCCTCGCGCCCGCCTGGTCTTGTCTCCCACTTCCCACGTCCCAGTAATGGCAGCCGGAGGAGCTGGGGGAGTGCGGGGTGATGATGTAGGCATCCGACCCTTCCGTGTGGGCAGGCAGAAGGCCCCCCTTCTGGCCCAGCATCACACTCCTGAGGCCATCTGAGAGGATGAGGTTGGGGAGGGCAGTTTCTATGTCCAGAGTCACGTCAGCTGCAGAGAGAATGAGCACGTGTCACTGGGGGTCCACAGCCACCATTCCCTGGGGCTCTCCTTGCTCCAGAAACATGGGCAGCCCACAGAGACCTGGCGGACCAAGTGCTCTTGCCTCTAGCTGGGCACCTGCCCGCTTGTGCCTAAACTCCAGTCAGCTCTGGGATGGCAAAGACAAAGGGGATGGGGAAATCCTCAATGTTTGTAGCCAGAGGGGCCAACTGCGCCCGGCCCCCACAGCAAGGAAGGACAGGACCTGCATGCTCGGGACAGGACTATTTTTCTCCTCTTCCCTCACTTCCCCTCTGCACTCTGCTCGGGCTACTCCTGGCGGTGTGCAGGGGCCTGTATGGGATGCTGGGGGTGGCACCAGGTTGGCTGTGCTAGGCAGATGCCCACCCCGCTGTACTATGGCTCTGGCCCAGGACTTTTTTCTGCTTGACTTTCACCTTGGCCCTTGCAGGTGCCAAGACTTCCCTGGGGACTGCTCTGCTGTGTGGACCTGGCCAGGACACCAGCCCCGCGCCTGTGGCCTTGCTTCCACCCTTGTGCCTAGTATTTTCCTGTGTTCTGTGTAATGAAGTCTGTAGCACAGGGAAGGTCGCAGAAGCCCCCAGATGGCACATGGCTGCCACTAGCATACTCACCGCTGAGGGGCTCCATCCCGGAATGCAGGGTTTCTGAAAGGAAAGAGTTGGAATTAGAGGAGGCGGAGCAGAGAGAAACTAAAGGCGGAGTCAGACCACAGTGGCCCCGAGCCCCACCTCTGTTCACGCCCACCCACCTGAGAACTGCTTCATCCTCCTGTCCATGAATTCAGGTTTCTGGGGAAGCTTTTCCTTTATGTCCGGAGAGGCGGCCCACAGCTCAGGGATATGCAGACTCTGAGCCCTGGAGACAAAGGGCTGCTGAGGGTTGGAACTGGGGGAGTTACAGCTCCCCCACTGCTCTGCCCACCCAGCCTGGGCTTCACATAAGAAAGTGCCTCTGGACCCTGAGCAGGCCTGAGTTTTGCCCTCACCCAGAGGCGGAGAGGACCCACGTGAGCACGGAAGCGAACTGACGGACAGCTGTGTGTTAGGGCATGTGGTGGGGTACTTGGTTGTTTTGGTTCTTAGGCCACATCTGCCAGTGTTCAGGGCTAACTCCTGGCTCTATGCTCAGGGATCACTCCTGGCAATGCTCGGGGGCCCTATGTGGTGCCAGGGAGCCATCCTGGTTCAGACGCATGCGAGGCCTGAGTTCCGGCCCGAGCCGTGGGACTGTGAGCTTGAGGGCACAGACGCGGAGGGGCAAACACTGGGTTATTCTCAAGCAGGGTTGTGGGCGCTGTCTACGCCCCAGGATATTATAGGAGACCACAGCACAAGACTGGGGGGCACAGAAGGTAAACAAGGATGGAAGGGAGTAGAAAAAGACAAATTCTGATTTAACTGTGGTCACTGGGTTTGTCAAGGTCATAGCTCTGGAAAGTAGAAAGGGGGAGGTGGTGGGAGCGGGGTAGTGACTTAAGTGTTTGTGGTTCCATTTAGGAAAATGACTGAGATCTGGGGATGAAGGCACCCCGTGGTGAGAACAGCGCCCCTAAGCAGCAGGCTTATTTCACCACAGAGGATGGGGGTGGGGGGCGGCAGGCTGGGTGGAGGGCACCTCCTGTGTGCTGGCCCTGCTTGCAGCCTTGACACTTGGGCCTTCTGGGCTGCCAGGGTAGGGCATCAGGCGTTTGTGGGCGCCCCGGGGGACCGAGAGGCCCTGCTCTCATGAAGGGTCTCCCTGTTTGCCTGACTCTGCTCCCCCTTCCCCCACACACACCCCTCCCTCCCCCATCCGGAAGCTCAGGAGGGCAGGGGGGAGCATCAAGTTCAGGGTGGGAACAGCTCCTCCTTCTTGGATGGCCACTGTACCTGTGCTGGGTGCCTCTGATGTCCTAGGAGAAAGCAAGAAAGTTCTGTGTCATATTCGGCTGCGCTGCTCCCTGCCGTGTCCCCAATCAGACCCAAGTCACCAAGCCCTGAGGGCAGCCCTGCACAGTGGCCCGGCTGCTCACCTGCATGAGTGCCCACTGGCATTGCGCGGCCTCCAGCTCCCTGGCCTGCTCCTCGAGGAGGGTGTCCTTGGGTGCGCGGGTGCTGTAGGCGCCCCGGAGCTGGTCGATGTCCTGGCCCAGGTCCTCCAGCCAGGCCACAAAGAGCTGCTCCTGCTGCTCCAGGAACCGGCACAGCCTCTTCAGCTGGCACCGCAGCTTCTGCTTCTTGTCTTCTGTGGCTTTCTGGGGGGAGAGGGCAGGTGGAGAGGGATTTAGTGTGCCGTGTGGGACTGGGGCGGGATGCTAAGAGGCACCCTCAGCTTCTTGGGAGCCTGAGTTCCAGGCAAATGGGTCGGGCTTTCCAAAACAGAAGTGGCAAGGGGCTGGCATTGGGGAACCTCCTCAAGGCTGTTGGTGCAGGTTGGATGGTGTCCCTTCCCTGATGAGCTGAAAGGCTTAATTCCCGGAAGCTCAGAGCTGCTCCTGTTAGGAAACAGGGCCCCTGCCAATCTGATGAGGCAAGTGCCCTGGCAGGGTTGCCTGGGTGGGGAGTTGGTGTCCTGGTAAAAAGAGGAAATTTGGACATAGCCCCGGCCATGCTCCACACAGGAGATCGTTGACAGGAGGGGGGAGAATGGGGACCCCAGCACCTGGGTCTGAGGCACAGCACCTCACGGGAGAAGTGGTTTCAGCCCCAAGTCGGGAGGGCTTTGTGCGGGGTCCCAGGACACGGAGATGCCCAGTGTCCCCTTTGTCCTCCCTTTAAGCCAGCGTGAGACTGTGTGAGCTCCGCGCCGGTTCATGAACAAGCGTTTCATCTTCCTTTTCTAATTCAGGCATTTCTCAAATGTCATCACCTGCGCCCTTGCCGCTCCTCCCATCCTCCGGTGCTGGTGGCAGTGTTCACGTTTCCACTGCGGTGTGGTTGGTGCAGTTGGAAATCAGGAACCCAGAAAAGGAGATGGGGTGCAGCCACCAAAACACACCGAGATCAGAGCTCTGCAGCGTGGGAACCCCACTTGCAGGGAAATGGTCACAGCTTATGTCTCCCAGAGTCGACCAATGGGCTGTCCCCACAGCAGCCCGTGGGCGCCCCATAAATGCTCAATCCTCTGATTTCAAACATCAGTACAGCTTCAGTAAAAAACAGTGAGAAAGGGGCCTGGAGCAATAGCACAGTGGGTAGGGTATTTGCCTTGCATGCGGCCAACCCGGGTTTCATTCCCAGCATCCCATATGGTCCCCTGAGCACCGCCAGGGGTAATTCCTGAGTGCAGAGCCAGGAGTAATCCCTGTGCATCGCTGGGTGTGACCCAAAAAACAAAAACAAAAAAACAAACAGAGAAGGCCAACCTGAGTTTGATCCTGGCATCACATGTGGTCATGTGGTTGCCTGAGCCCTGCCAGCAGTGATCCCTGAGCAGGGCCAGGAGTGATCCCTGAGCACTGCTGGGTGCGGCCCCAAACCCAAACCCACAAAGCAATGATAGAAACAGCAAGGAGCAGATAAAGTAGGAAAGCATCTGCTCCCTGAGAGTCAGCTACAGTGTGAGAGGTCTGTGGAGAGGGTGCGCCCTACCCCCCCATGCCCCATCCCTGTGTGCCCTACACCCCAGCAGGGGGGTCCGTGTGCAATTCATTCTGCTTCTCAGTGAACCAGAAGTGTGGTTCTGGTCCCTCTCCACGCCCTGCATCCTGAGTGTGGCGGAATCCTCGATCTTACCAGGAAGGGGATTTTCTTCTTATCCCCTTGGGATCTCTGCTCCTCTCCGGATTTTCTCGGCTCCTTCAGATGTTCCAGCTGCTTCTGAATTTGCTCCTGGGAAAAGAACATTTGCTGAAGCTTAAACATGGCTCTTCCTGGGCCAAAGAAACAGGACAGGGGTTAAGGCACTTGCCCCAATTTGGTCCCTGGCACCACGTATGGTCCCCCAAGCACCAGCAGGAGTAACCCCTGAGCACAGAGCCTGGAGTAGCCCCTGAACACCAGGGGCCAGAAGATTCTAAATAGACCAAACTCCGTAGCCCTCCCTGGGCACCTGCCACCTGGCAAGGGCACAGGCTGCTCCCACATGGTCTGAGGGTGTGCCATCCCAGGGCGTGGGGCAATGCCCCAGGAAGAGGAGGCTGGACCACATAGTCAGCACAACCAGGAGTCGGTGAGAGCATGCAATGATCATCTTTGAGCCCTTGGATTTAGCCAAACCTGAAGCTAGTTCCTGCGGACCTACAGGAACCAGCCAGTTCTTGGTGGCCACGTTTGTGCTGTGCTGTGCGGTCTACGGCACAGTGCTGGCTAATGCACCGGCGTTCGGGTATGGGGAAGCTGTGGTCAGGACCAGGTGTTGGGGTGCCCGGCAGAAAGAGGCCCGCGCACAGAACCCTACCTTGTACCCCTGGGCTGCCTCATTAGTAAGGCAGATGCGGTGGCCCCGGTGGCCCAGACTCAGGCTGCAGCTGAGACAGATGGGCTCCCTGTGGTCCTCACAGAGCAGTAGCTGGGCCTGTCTCAGGTGGTGCTCACATTGTGGCAGTATCTTGGGGCTCAGGCTGGTCACCGTTGGGTTCTCCTGCGGCTCATGTCCCGGCCCCCTCTTCCCTGGGAGCGAAGCCTGGCACCAGGGGCAGCCGCCAGTTTCATGTGCACTCGGGTCTCCTTCCTGGGTGTGGCAGAGTGAACACACCACCCTGTCCTGTGGCCTCCCTGGGGACAGAGTTCATGAGATCCCTCAGATGCTTACAGAGGGGACTGCTCAGGTCAGGGACGGGGTGCACGCTGCTGCAGGTGCTACTGGTGCTACGTGGTCCCAGCACCATCAGCACTGACTGTCCTGCCCACTGGCCGAGGATTTTGGCAGTGACCCCCAAGCCCTCTGAGCACTGCTCAGGAGGCCCTCCAAATATAATGGGGTGCTAGAACAGGGACAAGTGTCCACTTCCTAGCCACCCTTGTGAGCCACCCTTCCAGAGAGGCAGCTAAGGAGCCCCGAGACTGAGCTGAGGACCAGGCTGCCTGGAGTTCCAGGACTGAGGGGCCTGACCCCCCCAGAAAGAAAGACCAGCTCCAACTTCCTCCCACACTTCCATTGCCAAGCAGCTGATCCAAAGGCCACAGCGTGGCTGACAGTGCTCCCTGCCATCAGGTATTGAATAGCAGCTGGGCCTGTCCAGCCAAAGGGCTGTAAATGGAGCGGTTAAGAGCACCTTCTAGAAGTCTTCTCTGACTGGCATTATCCCCCTTTGTCCTTCTATCCTGCTGCCTGCTAACGAGGCTGCTACTACTGAAAGCAAACATGGTTGGAAATGGAAGGAACCTGGGGTCTTGGCAGTGAGGGACCTGTCTGTCCTGTCACCCAGCAGTCATTTGTGAGAAATAAACTTCGGCCTTGTTTGACCTTATTGTCATTCACAGCCACGAAATCCTAATGTCAGAATGACCCAGAGTGCTGGTGGTCCCAGTTCTGCCTGTGTCCAGAGACAGAATTGGGGTCACTGCGTGAGAGAACGTTCTTCCCCTCTCTCTTGGGTGCACACTCCAGAAAGACCCCCAAACCTGTTGGTACTCCTAAGGCCTTTGGAGGGAGGGACCCAGAACCACGGGAATTCACTTGTGGGTTCTGAGGTGAGCATCTGAGCCCTGGGAGCACCCCAGGATTCCTGCAGTGGGAACAGGCAGTGGACAGAGGAAGTTTGCAGGGCTCTGGGGCGCTCTTACCTGAAGATGGAGGGACCGCCACACTGAGGGCCACCGGACCGGTCATTCCACTTTTCCCTGCAGGGGCGCTGCTGGTCTTCTCTTTGGGAGGGGAAGCCCTGGGGGGTGCACTGTGGACCGCGGCTCCCTCGGGCCCCTTGGAGTGTCTGGGGTGCCTGGGACCCATCCACAGACCCTCAGGGCCCCACTGGGCAGCCCCGTGTCCCGGAGTGATCGCCAATTCCAGATTCTCACTTTCCCTTCTCCCCTGCATCAGAAGCGGAAGGTAGTGGGCAGGCTCCTTGTCCCCCCAAGGGATACTGGACTCCAGGCTCTTGGGGCGCTTCTTGCCTGAGCCCTGCAGGTTCTCTCGCAGCCGCACGGACCCGCAGAGGTTCTGCAGCTGCCCAGCCGAGCTGGCGTTTCTGCGGATCGTGCTGCCCTGGCCGGCGCCTGCTGGAGCCTGCTTGGTCCGGGTCAGGCTGGGCTCCTGCCACCAGTCTGACAGAAGTTCTGCAACGACAGCCCCACCGCAGGCATCAGCCAAGTCTGGGGACCGGGAGGGGCCCCGCCCCCACCCCCCCTCGCGGACGCTGGGCCCAGTGTCTCTCGTGCTCTCCAAGCTGGCTCGGAACTGTTGGCGGAAGTCTGAGGGGCCAGCACTGAGCTAGAGCGCCCACATAGTGTCCTAGGAAAGGCAGCCACTGCTTGCCGGAAGCTGGGCTCAGCTTCGCTTGGATTCCAAGAGGTGAAGTGTAAATGGTCTTTGGTTTGGTTTTGGTTTGGAGGCCACACCTGGGTGCTCAGGGCTGACTCCTGGCTCTGTGCTCAGGGATCCCTCCTGCTGGGGCTTGTGGAATCATATGGGGTGCCAGGAGTAGAATCTGGGCTAGGGCACTCTGGCTGCCACCCCAGTTTTTTAAATGCTAGCCTGGAGATTTCAGGGGTGTCTAATCAAGGAAAATGGTAGAAAGGCGAGAGAGGAGGAAAAAGGGAGGAAAAACGGAGAAAGTTTTGTGGCAGATTTACCAAACCTTTGTAAAACCATCGGCTTAAAACTGAATCAGTGACCCTCTAGACCCTTCTGTTCCTTATCCTGGTCCACTTTCAGAATTTCAGACTTCATTGTTTTTCCATCTTTCAAAGCCATCTGGGGCCTGAGAGAACTTCTCCACCCAGCTCGACAGACCCAAATCAGGGAAGGGGCTTGCTTGGCCAGTCACGGGCTGGAGGGCTGAGGCTCCTGGCCCAGTTCCCTGTGCACCCCTGCCGGGTGCTTACCTTGGACGAGGGCCCTGTGTAGCTGTTCGGCCAGCAGGTTCTGGTTCATTTTCCTGAGGATGTGCAGGGTGAGCAGCACGGCAGTGCTCTGCCCATAGTGGCTCAGCAGCAGGTCGGCCAATTGCACGGGCGTGATCTCCTCGTGCAGGTGCCCCCATGGGATCCGGGGTTTCAGGTCGGTGTTTTTCAGTTTATACTTGAATTTTGCAAATTCTTTAGGCAGCAGCCCTTCCAGGGAGTGGAGCAGATGGTCAGTCATGGTCTCCGCCATGGTACTGGCCAGAGGGAGCCAGCTGTCTGCTCTGAGGAGGAAAGCCTTTTGTCCCGGAGCCCCCAGAGGGTGTGGCAGCTTGTGAAATAACGGAAAAGATGCACCGGAAGTGTCGGTGTCTCGATGGGAACTGGGGACTCGTGTCATTGCCAGCGCTGGCCCTTCTTTCTCACAGATACGGGCTTGGCTTTGCAGCTCGCTCCCTGCCCTTCTGGTGCTGTGGGCAGCTCACTGGGTGGCAATGCCCAGTGAGGCTGGGGCCGGAAGGGGCCATGATGATACTCAGCGCCTGGGGCAGCTGTGTGGCCAAATGGTCAAGGGAGACCAGGAGACAAGCACTACTGTGTCGTTCGTTCCCCCACTTCCCCCCTTCTTCCCCTCCCCCCTGAGACAGCCAGCGATCTGACGCCACGCCTGGGTGCTGTCCTGCTCTCTGCCCCCTCATGTGACACCCACAGAGTCTTCCCTCCCACTCCGTCCACGGTTTGTCAAACATTACAACATACCCTTCCAAATACCCTAGGCATTCTAAATTCTAGGAAGATTGTAGACCATTTCTACACCACCACTCGATGAACACACTCAGAAATGCTAATGATTCTTCCGAAGGTCCAGAATCCAGTTCCCCCAACTGTCTTACTGATGTCCTCAACAGCGTTTCTCTTTGGAAGCCAGGGTGCAGTTAGAGGTCGCGCTTGGCTTTTGGTGCTCTGCCAGCATAGCACATTCATACACCCCCACACCCCCACGCAGTTTTGATTCTTCGAGGTACGGTGCTTTCGAAGCACCCACCCCCAGCATGATCTGATCTGCAGCTCAGAACTGTGCCAGGTCCAGTCAAGCATCCTGGCGGCATGGGCAGCGTCAGTGGCACCTCTCGTTCCTGTTAGAAGTCACCTGAAGATGTGGACATCAGCTTAAAAGGTTCCATTTCCAAGACCTGGGCAAAATCGTTTGCACAGCCCTGCCAGCTTGCACCTCTCATCCTTCTGGCGAATTTTGGTTTACGAATGTTGTTAGCAATACAGCAGCTGCCACCAGCGCCCCTGGCACCAGCTGCTTTGCCTTATCTTGCACTGGAGAGAGGACACGGGGTGGGGTGCGGACTGTGCTTTGGGAGTCCTGGGGACAGTCCCCAGACCTGTAGGGCCCCTGAGCACCATCCTCCCTTCCCCACAAAGATATTTTGTATCTTAAAGTCCCCATGGCACCCAGTTCCAGGGCAGGGTTCTGTGCTGCCATGACACTCAGGTGCTTAGTGGCTTGCCCTCACCTGGCGATACTGTCTTCCAGCATAACAATGTTTTACTTCTAAATTATTGTTAATTCTGGTATCGCTTTCTCAAATGGCAAGTGAGGCCCCAAATGGGCAGGGCTGCCCTCTCCAGTCACTCCAGGGGGTGACCAGCCTGGGTGTGACACACCCGCGCTCAAGGCTGCAGGCGTGCCAGCTGGCCAGTGTGTCTCCTACAGTCCCACGTGCTGGTGTGGCATGTGCAGGACTTGGGGGCCAGACAGCAGCACGCTTAGGGCACTTGCCTTCATGCAGCTGACCCTCATTTGAATCCTCGAGCCGCACCAGGGGTCCTGCCTGGGCACAGAGCCAGGACTGCAGGTTGGAGCCCCAAACAGAATGCTCAGGGCTTGAGTGCTCAGAATACTGCTGAGAGAAAAACTCCCACCTCAAATGTCTTTTTTTTTTTTTTTGGTGCTGGAGATTGAGCTTAGATCTTATACTCTACACTGACGTCCCTGCCGCTGCCAACCCCAGATCTCCCCAGAATAAAGGGGAAATGGTGGGTTGCATATGCTCAGTGGACCTTTGGGGCATTGCCCAGGTGTCCCTGAGTCAGAAATGCCAGTACTGTGGACACAGACGCCTGGAAAGTGCCTCTCACTCGTCGAGGCAGAGCTGATGAAATTATGCAACACGGAATAGGCTGCTTCGTGTTTCCTGAGGGAAAGCCCTCTGCATGCCACATGAGCACCCAGGTCAGCCCTGGTAGGAAGTGGGGTTTCCCAGCTGCAGCAGGAAATGTTGCAATTGATGACACAGCTCTGAGGCATGCCCTTGAAAGATGGTGTTTTGACGACAGAGTCCTTTCTGGGTATGAGGCTCACGCCACTTTCATCTTTAGGTTTTTTGAACAGACACCTCACAGACGCTTGAGGGTTACACAGGGGTCATTCCCCAGGGTGCTTGGGAATGGGCAGTGCTGGGATCGAACCCGGGCCTCTGGCATGCCACACATGGTCTCCAGCCCTTGGCACTCTCTTTCAGCCCCCAGCTTTCATTTTTTGATATTTCAATAATGTTGGTAATTAAAGAAAGTACAGCAGGTAACGCTGCTCAGGCTGACCAGGATAAAAAGGCTTTTCTCCTCTGGCATATAAAAAAAGTATTTACTGTCATTTATTGTCAGGAAAATCAAAAGAACAATGAGATACCATCTCACTCTAGTGAGAATGGCACAAATCCCTGACACTGGGAGAAGAGAGAACAGAGGGTGTGGGGCACCTGCCTTGCATGCAGCCGACCTGGGTTCAACCCCCTGCATCCCATATGTTTCCTTGAGCAGTGCCAGAAGCAATTCCAGAGTGAATTATTCCTTTAAAAATTTTTAGATACTTTTTAAAATACTTTTTTATATGCCTCTGGCTATCCCTACTTCTTCATAGCAGAGTTCATGTTCTTTCCTAAACATGTGGGCTGATAACAAGGAAATATATATGTAGTCTAAATATGGTGGTCACAGAAGTTTCTGTTTGACAGAGGCCTAAAGAAAGGAGGGTAGTGAGCACTGAGCACATCCAAAGGCCCTGGGGTGACTGTGCCTAGGACCTGAGGACTTCCAGACCATAGTAAGGACATAGCTGTTAACCTTAGATGAGTGGGCATGATCTGACAAAGGCTTTGGGAGAAGCTAACGTTGGGATGTGTGTGTGTGTGTGTTTTAGTTTTGCCACACCTGGAAGTGCTCAGACCTTACCCTTGGCTCTGTGCTTGGGGATCACTTCTACAGGTGCTCAGGGAACCAAATGTGGTGCTGGAGATTGAACTTGAGCTGCCTACAGACAAAGCACCTGAGCTGCTGTACCATTGCTTGGCCCCAAATCTGACCTCCTTAGGAAAGGCAACAGAGAAGGAAAGGTGTGAAGAGAGGCAAGCAATCAGCCATCTTCCAGGATGCAACAAAAGCATCAGGGGCTACTCCTGACAGTGGTGGGGATTGAACTGAGGTCAGCCACATGCAAGCCAGTGCCCGAATCCCTGTCCTATCTCTCTGAACTTTGCGGTCATTTTGAAGGAAGAGCTCACTCGGATGATACAATTTTTAGGCATTATATTAAAGGCTCATGGAATTACCTTAAGGCATTCATGTTGAATCCTACAGGCTTGGGAGCTTCTCTAGTGTCTATGAGCTTCTCTAGTGTCTATTTCTCTCTCTCTCATCAGGGTGGGCAGAAAGAAACTGGGCCACCCATCTACTTATCCCAGCCCAGATCAACGACATCTGCTGTTCAGTCTCAAACTAAGAAGCATACTTGCAGCTGCTCCGTGAGTCCGAACCTGTAAGATAACACTGTTCTGTCCTTCCTGCATAACCTCAGGAATAGTTGATATTTGATAGTTCCTTAAGAGGTATCTTGCCCTTGAGCAGTCAGGAAGGGCTTTCTTATGTTGATTTGGCTACCTGACTGGGTGGAGTGTCAGCCCAGACTAGAAGGGAGCTGGAGAAGGAGAGAGCAGGGCGGAAAGATGGACTACCGAGAGACTAGCAAGGGGAACATGTGCTTGAGAGAACCTAGGCCCTCCACAACATAAGTTCTTCTATGGGATAAACTTCCTTGTAACAAACTGCCACTAAGATCAACCGGCCTGGCCCTCGTCTCTTCCTTCATCCGCCCTTGGCCAACAGCCGTCCCGATGCAGGCCACACACAGCGGCTCTAGGGTACCGAACGCGGGCGGTGAGATAGAGCCGTCCAGAGAGCCCGCGAACACACAACCTTCTGCGAGTATAGTTTTTTACACGAACCAGCTCCTGGGTGGGCTAAGACTGGAGGGAGAGGAAGCCATGTTCTCCCTGTGGGCTGAGTGGGCGCAGCCTGTGCCCGGGATGCTGTAATGGCTCCCCCTCGGGCACCCCGGATGTTTCCGTTGCGATAAGGTAATACTGAAAACTTCGGAAGCAGTGAATTACACATTTTTTAAAATTGCTATGTCTAGTTGTCGAGTTGTAGAGTTATTAAACTCCGATTTTATCCATGGCTGGAGTGATAGTACAGGAGGTAGGACCTTTGCCCTGCATGCAGCTGCTGCGGGCTCCATTCCCACACCACATCCCTCCCAATGGGACGGTGAGCTAAGGCTCAGAGGTTTGAGAAGCTGATTTCCACCCCTGCCCACCCCACCTTCCTTCCTCTCACCCCCTAAAGCTACCTCCTCTCCGGCAGGTGCGCAGCCGGTCCTGAACCCCCGAACCGAAACTTTGGAGTCTGGAAAGTGCAGGAAGCAACGGGGGTGGGGGGCTCGGAGAAGGAGAGCGCAACGCCCACCCGCGCCTCCAGGGGCCGCCCCGCGGCACCAACAGCCCCGCCGGGAAAATGAAAGGGAAAGGCGCCGAGGCAGCTTCCTAGACTCGTCTGCGCGTGTTTCCTGTCACACCACATTCAATAATTCAATGAAATGATGTGCGCGACAGTGCCTGGCACCGGGGGATACGTGTGCGCCTCACTGACGGCACAGCAGTGGGCACTCGGATCTCACGCACCTCCCTGGGACGGGGGCCCGAGGTGATTCCAGCGGCAGCACACGAAGGCCGGATACCAGGGGAAGACACTGCCACAGAGCAGCGAGAGCGCCGGACGCGCGCAACAGGTCACGGGCGCCTCCGCCGCGCCTGACCCTCTGAGCGCAGGCGCAGCCCACGCTCCGCACTACATCTCCCAGAGGGCTCCGCGCGCGCGGAACCAATCGGATTGCTAGCGAGCGGCCCCCCGGCGTGACGTCACGGGAGGACGCTGGGCTGCCGTGCCGTTGGAGTGATTGGCAGCTCCCTCAGCCTATAGCTGCCACCGCTGAGGCGCGGACCAGGAGTGGCGGCTAATAATTCCGGGCGCCGCACGTTCTGGGGGCCTCGGTGCCCCGTCTTGAGAGATGAGTATCAGAAACATTCGAATGATCTTAGCGGATTTGAAGTATAAAAATCATTTTCTGGAGCGGTGGGAAATGGCCCAAATGCCTAAGGCCGAGGTTCCTCATAGTTTGCGCACCAAAGGAGGGACCACCCCCCTCCTCGCTCCTGACCCCCAGTTCGCTCGCACGAAGTCTGAAGTGCTCCAGGACCGGCTGGGGCTCCAAGCTTTGCATACAGAAGCCCTGAGTTCACTCCCTGACATCGCATGGCCCCCCCTCCAGTCCCCCAATTTTGTACTGTGAGGACTCGCTGCCTGAAGTCAGGACTTGAGCAAAGCGTTTCTGGCAGGCCTGATTCACTAGCTCAGGCCTTCGGGCCTAGTCACTGCAAGAGGGAATGAAGAGCTGGGCCGCCCTCTCGGCCTGGGCGGGAAGTCGATTCTCCCGGTTTCCTTTCCTAGATAACGTTCGGCGTTAGTGCAGGCCGGGTTCCACATCAGGGTCACTGTGGCCGGAGAAAGCCGGCCCAGGCAGACACGGACTACAACTCCCAGCACGCCCCGCGGCAACGCTGACCCGGGCGGAGGAGCCGCTTTCCGGCCGAACCGCGAAGCCGAGCCAGCGAGCGCCACGGACCCCGGATTCAAATGTCTCCCGGGGAGACAGGGGAGAACTTGGCCCCTTCCTATCAGCCTCACGCCACCGGAGGGGGGTGGGGACCGCCTTTAACTCTGTTATTCTCCAAGTCGTGATTAGCATACTTGGGCGTGGGTAAGAATTTCTCGGACGAGCTCGGCGACAACCCACATGTCCAGGCACACCCCGGCAGTGTGGCTTCGCGTGGCCACACCTTAGTAAACCTCCCGGGGGATTATTGCCGTAAGCGCTCTTCGCTCGGGCCTATCTCCTGCGAATGGACCAAACGACCGTCCAAGTCCGACCCTGGAGCCGCGTTGCCGCCCCGTGGCCCCGCCCCTAGTCCCGCCCGTGCAGGCAAAGCGTCCTCCTGGTTGGCCGGCGGCGAGCCCGTGCGCGGCGGAACCAATGTCCGACGCCGGGTTTGCGGAACGTGACCCGGAAGTCGGCGTGAGCAGGCGCAGTGGGCAGGGGACGCCTAACGCGCGCGGGGACTTCCGGCGTGGGCGCCGAGCGCTCGGGACTGCGTGAGTCCGCGAAGAGGGGACCAGAGGCCCGAGCGGGTCCCGCCCCGGGGAGGTTCTGGCGAGGGCGGGCACGGGAGCCGGCTGCGTCCTCACGCGGGCGTCCCCCTCGTCCCGGCCTCCTGGCGCCGCCGACGCCTGCCATCCTAGCGCGGGGGCGTCCTCCTAGGTGGGCGCAGCCGAGTCCGGGGCCCGGGATGGCGTCGGCAGCGGGCCCCCAGGACCGGGAAGGGCTCCTGATCGTGAAGCTGGAGGAAGACTGCGCCTGGAGCCAGGAGCTTCCCCCGCCGGACGCCGGGCCTAGCCCCGAGGCCTCCCACCTGCGCTTCCGACGGTTCCGCTTCCAGGAGGCCGCGGGGCCCCGGGAAGCCCTCAGCCAGCTGCAGGAGCTCTGCCACGGGTGGCTGCGACCCGAGCTGCGCACCAAGGAGCAGATCCTGGAGTTGCTGGTGCTCGAGCAGTTCCTGACCATCCTGCCGCAGGAGATCCAGAGCAGGGTGCAGGAGCTGCATCCCGAGAGCGGCGAGGAGGCGGTGACGCTCGTGGAGGACATGCAGCGAGAGCTCGGCCGCCTGAGGCAGCAGGTGAGCACGAAAGCCGGCGTTGGCGCGGTTGGATCCCGCCGACGGAGACTCGCCCCGGCCCCGCTCCCCAGACCCGCTCGGTTGGGGGCCCGGGGCAGATCTTACTTCTCGGTCGTCTGGCAGGAAGTCGTTCTCGATTGTCGCCGCAGGGGAAGAATAAGACTGAAGTGTTTGCGTTCCTAGGCTCCGGAGCTAGTGCGCGGGGTCCAAAGCCTCCGATCTTTGGTTCCGAGCAGACTACTTCTCCTGTTACGGGCCCAGCGCAGCCAGTGGCAGATGACCATGATAAAAGACTTTCCTCGGCTTTCCCGAGGGCTGGGGCGGGAGCGGCAGGCCATTTGCATCCGTTAGTCTTGGTGCGGAGCTGCCCAGCCACCTGGCATCCTCCCAGAGTGAGATCCAGGTTAAGTTAGAGTTTTGGTGAAAGCCGTTGGCACTTGGGCGTTAGAGGTGCTTGCTCCAGGTCAACTTGTTAGTACTGAGTAGAAGCATCTAGTGCAGTGTGGGGAAACAGAAGGGGAGTTAGTGCTCAGAGGCGGTGTGTGGGAAGGGCATGTTGCTGGGAATGGATGGGGAACCCCTTCGATCTTGGTTTTCTCCTCGCTGGGTCAAAGATCTGCCCTCAGAATCCCGGGCTAATGTCCCTTCCTGCCGGTTGGGTCCTTCCTCCGGGCCCTGTGGTGATGGTGAGTGCTGTGGGTTGGTTCCCAGGTCACAAACCATGGGCGGGGAACAGAAGTGCTCTTGGAGGAGCCTTTGCCTCTGGAAACAGCACGAGAGTCACCGAGCTTCAAGCTGGAGCCAATGGAGACTGAGCGAAGCCCTGGCCCCAGGCTGCAGGAGCTGCTAGGCCCCAGCCCCCAAAGGGACCCCCAGGCTGTAAAGGAGAGGGGTGAGGAACAGTGGGCAGGTGGGAGGGAAGGAGGAGGGGGCTTTGGGGTTGCCCCTGAGCCATCAGAAGGGAGCACCTAGAGCTAGGAGCGGGAATTCTGACCTCTTGGGATGGGTCTTCAGTGGTGGGAGGGGTGGGGGGGTGATAAGTCCATTTATATGCAGAAGAAGAGACTTTCCTTGCTGGCTGAATGTTGGACCTTGGCTGCTGCTGGCCGGGAAGGGCGCCTGTCTTCCTCTCCCCACCTTTCTCCAGCCCTCCCCTGCCTCTGTCACCTTAGCCTCCAGTCCTCGAGGGAGAGACTGTGGGTGGGTACTGAGCGGGCTTCCAAGGATCGGGAGTGCCACTCTCACCATGATTTCTGTTACCTTCAGCATTATCTGCTCCCTGGCTTTCTCTCTTTCCTCCTGAAGGGAACATGGAAGACAAGGAGATGACTGGGTCCCAGGTAATGGGGAAGTTGCCTTTGTCTCTTTCCCAGCACTTTCCCTTTCCCCTTTCTCTTGTTGCTCTTGGGGGTTGCCTCTGTCACTCAGGGCACTTTCTCCCCTACGCAAACATACCATCCGCCTTTGTTGTCTCCTTTACGCCTCACTGGAGGCTTGGCATTCGACCCCATGAAATGTGTCCTCAGCACCCCCAGTTTTGCCCGTTTAAACCATGACACACTGTGAATTATCCTTGGTGTCTTGGACTAAAGGCAGGTTTTGTGCTTTTTCAGTTGCCTGAGAGCTTAGAGGACGTGGCTATGTACATCTCCCAGGAGGAGTGGGAGCAGCAGGACCCGAGCAAGAGAATGCTGTCCCGGGACACGGAGCAGGAGACCTTTGATTCTGTGGATGGACTGGGTAAGAACAATTCTCCAGGCATGAGCACTCAGTCTTACCTAACCAGCATCTTGTCTTGATACCCACTTCCCAGATAGAACGTTATGTGGTTTGCCAGATGATCTCCCTTTGTTCAAAGTCCTCTGTCCCAGGATCAGTTAAACATCTACCTGATGGCACAGTTGGCACATTTATGGGCCCCAGATCTCAGATCCAAAGCTGGGTGGCAGAATCTGAACTGTACTGGACTTTCTGAGGTAGGAAAAATCAAATCCAAGTACTAGGATGCTGTGTCTTCATGCCATGCAAACCTTCAGGTTTGCATCTCACCTTATGTTCCACTATTTTTGTTTTGGGGGACCATACGGGGTGCCAGGGACTGAGCCTGAGTTGGACATATATTAAGGGCAAGTGCCTTACCCACTGTGTTACCTTTCTGGTCCCAATCACCAATTTTTTTTTGGCGGGGGGAGGACACACCTGGCAATGCACAGGGGTTATTCCTGGCTCTGCACTCAGGAGTTACTCAGGGACCATATGGGATGCTGGGAATCGAACCTGGGTTGGCCGCGTGCAAGGCAAAAGCCCTACGCGCTGTGCTATTGCTCCAGCCCTCCCATCCACTAATATATTTATGCCCTTCCCTGAAGCCTATTTAAGGGGCAGTTGTATCAACATTCTTACTTAGCAGCTGCCCCAACCCTTAATTCAGGAAGTAAAAATTCTGTAGGAGCATTAAAATGGTTCTATATGTTGAATTACTGTGCAGAGATCTAAAAATGTAAGGGGAAATTGATGGTTAGATTTAGGCAGCACATGTACAGATGTTGTAGAATTCTTTCAACTTTTCTGTATGTTTGAAACGTCTGTTTTGGGGCTAGATAGCTAGTGCGGGGTTCCTGCGAGTGTCTTGTCTGTGCTGACCCTGGTAACTGACACCCGTGGCTCCTCCAGCAATGTCAGTGTGTTCTGCGGGTTCCCAGCGCTGCGTTTACTCTCGGTAATCCCTGGCACCACGTGGTCTGAGCAGTGCTGCTTCCTTGGGTTCTCACACTGAACCACTGGTGGGCCAAGAATCACCAGGTGGGGCCCCCAGATCTCCTGAGCATTGCTTGGGAGAATCTCAACATTCCACCCTGTCAAGGGGAAAAAGAACTAGTTGGAGAAGTCTTGGACCAGGGAGGTAGCTTAGATGTATGGAGAGGCAGCTTTGCATGTGGGAGGCCCAGGGTGGCTCAGTATCAACTGAGCCTCTGTGTACTTCATGGCCTCCCAAGCACTGCTGGGTATATGCCCACCCATACCCGCAGACAAAAGTGAAGGAAGTCTTTAAAGACAACTTTGGGCTGCAGAGATAGGGCAGTAGGTAGGTGTTGGCCTTGTATGTGTCTGACCCGGTTCAGTCCCAGGCATCCCTTATGGTACTTCAGACATTGCCAGGAGTAACCCATGAGCATTGCTGGGTGTGGCCAGAAACAAAAGTATAATAAAAATAACGTTCAAATGGACAAGATAGTTCAGTGGGAAGGGTGTTTGCCTTGCACGTGGCTTACCTGGGTTTGATCCCCGCATTCCATATGATTCCCCCATGCACCGCCAGGAGTAATTCCTGAGGGCAGAGCCTGAGCATCTCTGGGTGTGGCCCAAAACCTATATACTAAAAAAATAATAAAATTTTGAAAAAATTAAAAAAGACGGGCTGGAGAGATAGTACCATGGCTTTTCTGGGAATTGTACGGGGTGTGAGGAATCAAACCCAGGTCTGCTGTGTGCAAGTCACATGCTCTACTCACTGTATTTTCCTGCCCCCAGTTGACAAATTCTTGAAAATAAACTGCTTAGAGTCTCTGTAGGAGTTGGAAGGAGGTTTTCCTTGAAGCTCAGAAATGACACTTGGGTTGTAACCTCATGATCTGTTGGAGCCTAGCTGTCCTTCTGAGTCTCCGTTGCATTTTATTTTCTCATGGAGTTGCAGATCAGATTTAGTTCCATATATGTTAGTGTCACACGTGGGCCAGAAAAATAATGTAGGGGTTAAAGCACCTGTGGCGCCTAAGCTGCACACGTGTCTGCTTCCATTCGATCCCCAGCATCACACGTAGTTCTCTGAGCACACAGCCAGAAATAGCACTGCAGGTGTTGCTCCCCGAAACAAGTAAAAAACATCACTTTGACCTGGTTTATTGAATAGTTTTGGTTACAGAGTCATTCAGTTCTCAAAAACAAAAATAAACATTCAGTTGTCATTGGGGGAAAAATTATCCCAGGGCCTACAGAAGTGTAGGAAGAAAGTCATTGTTCCCTTACCCAGTTTCTGTAAAAGTGACTGCCAGGAGCAGTTTCGTGTGTTTGGATGATTTTGCCAGACTTCCTGCATGGTCCATGTCCATTGAGTTAGGGGCAGGAATAGGGGCGGGAACTGTCTTTTTCCCTCCTGCCTGGTAAATGGAAGAGGTAATTACTTTTATTTGGGTGGCTACACTTGGTGATGCTCAAGGATTACTCCTGGCAGTACTGGGGGTACCATGTGGGATGCAAGGGGTTGAACCCCGATTGGCCGTGTGCAAGGCAAATGCCCGCCCCACTGTCTACCTCTCGGGCCCCGGGAAGCGGTGATTCAGAAATCTGTTTCTTTCGTTGCGAGCAGAGTCTCAGGATCCCAATCAGGAGATGCTGAGCACCCAGATGGAGCAAGGGGGGAAGCTGTGGGAACCCAGTTACCAGACTTGCAAGGAGGGCCTGAGGCTCCGAAGCCCAGCTCCAGGTACGAACTGCAGTGAGGCCCACCTAGCCAGCCTCCTGCTGTTGCGTGTATGCGCGTGCGGCTTTGCTTTTGTCCCCACTGCCCACCTCATCCCAGTGACGCATGTCTGTCTTTTCTTTCTGGGCTCCCCTGCCCACCCTCGACCCAGGCCTGCTCTGGGTGACCCACATCCAAGGGGCTGAAGTCAGACTGAGTTGGAGGGAGGTACAGGCCCCTTTCTGATGGGTCTGAGCTGGCTCCTGAGTGATGTCTGCACTCTTGCCCTGATTTCTCTCCAGGGTGCGGGAAGTGTGCGGGGTGGGGGTGGGGAGGAAGCCGGGATGGAATCAGTTCTCTGGGCTTCTGACCTTACAGAGCAGCAGGGTCATGGATTCCTTTCGCCAGTGTAGAAATGATTAGGGCTTTGGTTTCTCTTGCTGTACCAGGCCAAGAGAAATTTGAGAACCAGGAAGAAAATGCTCACTCTGTTTTCCCTGAGAGCGTCCATCCTCAGGTGCTGCTCCCTGGCCAGGCCAGGGGGGAGGTCCCCTGGAGTCCCGAGCAGGGAAGGCCTCAGGACAGGGCTGAAGGGCACTGGGAACCTCACCCTGAGGAGCGGATGGAACAGTCTCTCCTGGGAGCCACAGGTTGCAGAGAATTGGGGCGACCGAAGGAACTGCAGCCGAAGAAACTCCACTTGTGTCCATTGTGTGGCAAAAATTTTTCTAACAACTCGAACCTAATCAGGCACCAGAGAATCCATGCAGCGGAAAGACTGTGTATGGGTATGGAGTGCAGTGAGATCTTCGGGGGGAATCCACACTTTCTGTCACTGCACAGAGCACACTTGGGAGAGGACACCCACAAGTGCCTTGAATGTGGAAAAAGTTTCAGTCAGAACACGCACCTCACTCGCCATCAGCGCACACACACGGGAGAGAAGCCCTATCAGTGTAACGTGTGTGGAAAAAGCTTCTCTTGCAACTCCAACCTGCACAGACACCAGAGAACGCACACGGGGGAGAAGCCCTACAAGTGCCCCGAGTGCGGGGAGATCTTCGCGCACAGTTCCAACCTCCTCAGGCACCAGAGAATTCACACGGGAGAGAGACCCTATAAGTGTGCCGAGTGTGGGAAAAGTTTTTCTCGTAGTTCTCATCTTGTCATACATGAAAGAACTCATGAAAAGGAGAGGCTCTTCCCCTTCTCCGAGTGTGGAGAAGCAGTGAGCAGCAGCACCCCATTTCTTACACCTCACAGAACCCCTAAGCCAGAGAAGAAACTCTTCGAGTGTTTGACTTGTGGGAAAAGCTTCCGGCAGGGCATGCATCTCACCAGACACCAGCGGACACACACCGGAGAAAAACCGTACAAATGTACCCTTTGCGGGGAGAATTTCTCCCATAGATCCAACTTGATCAGGCACCAGCGAGTTCACACGGGAGAGAAGCCCTACACCTGTCATGAGTGTGGAGACAGTTTCTCTCACAGCTCCAATCGGATTCGTCACCTGAGAACCCACACGGGGGAGAGACCCTATAAATGTAATGAGTGTGGAGAAAGCTTTTCTCGGAGTTCCCGCCTCATGAGTCACCAGAGGACTCACACCGGATAGAACAAGGGGCTTTCTCCACCCTGGGCCAGTGGCGTGTGCAGAGCGTCCTGATGTAGGAGCTGACACTCCTTGCCCAGCTGACGAGTGACTGACATTTTTGCAGTCACTCTAATGTCATGGAAAAGCGGTGCAGAGGCCGCAAAGGATTCTTACAAGGCTGAAGAGGAATTCTGTCAGAACTGATGTGGCAGGTCTCTGGGGGCATCTGCCAGGGCAGAGTCCCTCTCAGTCCATTCTGGGCCAGGGGCGTCCGCGCCCTGGATGTCAGCCAAGTTGTGATTTGGGTGCCTTCCCGCATTTTGGGAATCTGTGGTTTCTTTGTTACTGCTTTCGCGTTTGGGACATTCGGCAGCAGCTTTGGGTTCCTGGCTCTCGGGGAAATCAGGAGGCCGCAGAAGATTGGGGGCTGCAGCTTTCCCCGAGCCCCCGCACTCCTCATGACCCACCAGGAGTAGCAGTCGGCAGGTCACGCACACAAAGATCAGAAGGACCCAGGGGCTTGAAGGAAATAGGAAGCCGTGATTTGCTGATCGTGGTCAACCCAGGAATTGGCAAAGGAAGTAGGAGCCTGCGTTAGTCTGCCCTTTGCAGAAATCGCGACTTTCTCCACTTCTGTCAGAGAAGAGAAACGGTTTTCCGTTAAAGGGTTCCATGAAAGATGGAGTCCCTGGGAGACTTTGAGAACGTGGACCCTAGAAAGCCGCATTAGGGAACATTCCTTTCTCTATTGGAAATGTTTGGTAATAAATGTCTTCAGTAAATATGAAACTGTGTAAGTGTTTCTTGAGAACCTTTGTCTCCTTCCTGCTTTGGTTAGTGGACTTGCTTCTTTGGGAGTTTCGTAGGTGAGTTGGGAAGGCTGAGGTACGGACTGTGACCAGTGTCAGGTCTAAGACAGCCGCCCATGGTCGTACCCCAAGGGTTTCAGGTTGTCTTTGGTGTACAGCAATAAAAATGTCTTAGATTCTCGGCTTAGTGTTTACTTTTAGAAGATAAAACAATGAACAGCCTTGCTTTTGACAGAATTTTTATTTTTTTGCTTTTGGACCCAGCAGTGTTCAGGGGTTGCTCCTGGCTCTCCACTCAGGAATTACTTCTGGTGGAGCTCAGGAGGTCATATGGGATGTTGGGGATTGAACCTGGGTCAGCAGCGTACAAGGCAAACGCCCTATCCCCTGTACTATCGCTCCAGCCCCTGACAGACTATTTTTTAATTTTATTTTTTATTAGTGAAACACCATGAGGTACAGTTGTAGACTTACAAATTTTTGTGCTTGGGTTTCAGTTATATAATGATCGAGTACTCATCCCTCTACCAGTGCCCATTGTCCACCACCAGTGATCCCAGTATCCCTCCCACCCCCCCAACCCCCCCATCCCACCCTGCCTCTGTGGCAGGGCATTCCCTTTTGTTCTCTCCTTTTGGGTGCTGTGGTTTGCAAAAGAGGCATTGAGTGGCAATCATGTTCGGTCTATAGTCTGTTTTCAGCATGCATCTCCCATCCTGGGAGGATCCTCCCAACACCCTTTATTTGGTGCTCCCTTCTCTATCTGAGCTGCCTTTTCCCCTAGTATGTGCGGCTGGCCTCCAAGCCATGGAGTAAACCTCTTGGTATTTATGTCGGCTATTCTTGGGTGTTAAGTCTCCTATTTTATTACTTTATGTTCCACAGATGAATGCGGTTTTTCTATGTGTGTCCCTCTCTTTCTGACTCATTTCGCTTAGCATGTTACTTTCCATGTAGTACCACTTGTATGTAATTTCATGACTTCATCTTTTCTAACAACTACGTAGTACTCCATTGTGTAGATGTACTAAAGTTTCTTTAACCACGTTACTGTAACAGTTACTGACCCTTAGTGGTGGGAAAAAGCAGGTGAGGGCAAAAGTTTTAAAGGATAAGCTTCATATTCTAGAACAGGAAGTCAGGATTGTCTTTTTAACTATTTCTGGGACAGGTAAAATACTAGGTATTCCAGGAATAGGAAATCCGAATATCAGGAAAACAGAATTTGGGCTAGGGAGAAGAGCTGAAGCTATTGACCAGGTATCAAATGCAGCAAATTTAAGAGACGGAGACAGCCCTGCCCTGCCACCATCCCCTTATTAACCAGCTGCCTGACCTCAGTTCAGTGTTGCCTCCCTGGGTTTCTGTGTCAGTTTTGTTTCCATTCTTGTGGTGATCCCTGGGATCAGACTGGGGACACACTTGGAAGGCCGAGCTCTACCACTGGGCCCATGGCTTTGGTCCCTTCTGAAATGTCATTTTTTATCTTACTATTTCTGGGCTGGAGTACATGTTTCGTATGTAGGAAGTCCAGGTCTCATCCCTATCACCACATAGTCCCCCAAGCACTGCAAGAGTTTCCCATCACGCCCAAGCACTGGGCTGGTAGTAGCCCCTGAGCACTGTTGGGTGTGGCTGAAAATATGGAGTAAGAAGACGATTGCTATATATTAAAACATGTTAATCAGGGAGATTGGTTAGGTACCACAGCAGTGATCCCCAAACTTAATTTGACTTAGCCTATTTTTCAGGGGGGAAAATAACTCATTACCTCCCTGGAAAACTCAGCAGACCAACAGAAAGTGTCGCCTGTTGTACCTGCAGTAACTCCATCTGCAGTGTCATCTCAATGCTCCCAACTCTGGGAGTGGGACCCACTGTCCTAGTTCCACACCCCAGTTTTGCACCTAATCATTCATTGGAAGCCATAGTTGCCGCATATGCACCAACAGAAGAGAATACACACCACAGTAGATCCTTGACGCAATGTATGATATGGGGAACATTAAAAATGAATACAAAATTAAGAATTATTCTAACAAATCTGATATTTACAAAAATCAGGTTTATCAAGTACATGGGGGCAGTCATAATGCTACTCCAGTTCTGGGCATTCCCTTCTGGCATCTCATCCCATCATGCGCCATGGGATTCTTTCACTCGGTGGGATTCTCTCCATTTAGAAGCCTCTGTTCTCTGGCTGTGTTGATCTTCTCCCCGCTCCTTTTGATTTAAATAATTTAAACTTAAAAGATAGTGTTCTTTTAGCTGTGTAATTAGCAAAAATAAACAGCATAATAATATTTAATGCTTTAAGATATTGGGAAAAGCCCTTTCAAAGTCCTGGTAGAAAGATGGAAACAATTTCACTGTATCAACTGTCATCCTGTTGTTCCTCGATTTACTTGAGCAGGCGCCAGTAACATCTCTGTTCGTTCCAGCCCTGAGATTTTAGCAGCCTCTCCTTACTGGTCTTTCCCAGTGATTGGAGGCTCTTTGAGGGTCAGAGGAATGAGACCTGTGATAGTTACTCTTTTTGGCATATCGAATACTCCACAGGGAGCTTGCCAGGCTCTGCTCGTGCAGGATCTTTAAGTTAATATTTGCAAACGTTAACTTCGCTGATTCGTAGTATTCGCAGTATTCTGAAACAATGTAACATGTAAAAATTTAAAGTTTTATAAATTAAATTGTAAAAAATGTTCTTATTCTTTGACTTGGTAGTTTAATTCTAATAACCTACCCTCAGGTGATGCTTTGAATTTTTTTTGCAAAAAGTAGGGGCTGGAGCAACAGCACAGCGGGTAGGGCGTTTGCCTTGCACGCGGCCGACCTGGGTTCAATTCCCAGCATCCCATGTAGTCCCCCGAGCGCCGCCAGGAGTGATTCCTGAGTGCAAAGCCAGGAGTAACCCCTGAGCATCACTGGGTGTGACCCAAAAAGCAAAAAAAAAAAAAAAAAGTATATATATATATATATATATATATATATATATATGATCCGGAACAATGTTGTAGTGGTCAAAGCACTTTGCCTTGCATGTGGCAGACCCTGGTTCGATTCCTGGCACCTCATGATTCCCTGAGCCCTGCCAGGAGTGATCTCTGAGTGCCACACCAGGAATAATTCTGAGCATCATTTTTTTTGGCCAAATTCTGACCCAGAAGTTGGCCAAAAAAAAATTACGTGGTGACACCTTAGGACATAGTGTAAGGCCCTTGGATTCTGCAACAGCAGAAATGAAAGGATGAACAAATGTTATTAAGTGTAAAGGAGTAGTGTAAAGATAGCACAGTGGGTAGGGAGCGTTTCTTGTACGTGACCAACCTTGGTTTGATCTCTGGCATCCCAACCAGCCAGGAGTGACCCCTGAGCACAGAGCCAGAAGTCAGCCCTGAGCACAGTTGGGTGCGTATATCCCTACCTCAACCCTCCAAACAAGTTGGGAAACGTGAAAAAGGTAACTAGTAGGGCCAGGGAAATAGCTCAATGGGCTAGAGCCTTTTGGATTTATATGTGGGATCCCTGGGTTGATCCTCAGGGCTGCAAGGCCCCCAGTACTGAGCCAGGAGTAGCCCTCTCAGCATTGCTGTGTAGTCCCCAAAGAAAGAAAATGGTAATTAGAACTCATCAGCATACATATATATATAGAGAGAGCATATGTATGTATGTGTGTGCTAGAAGACTAATATCCACGGCCAGGGAGAATGGGTTGGGACTGGTCAGTGGTTGGATCTAAGCACAAGTGTGTGTGGGGCTGAGGGTAGGTAAAATAGAAAAGAGACTGCTGTAACAATAATAGCTGGGAATGATCACGCTGGACAAGAACGAAGTGTTGAAAGTAGGTAAAGAGATATTCTTGATAACCTTTTAGTATCAATATTGCAAACCACAATGCCCAAAAGGGGGGGAGGGAGGGAGAGAAAGAGAGAGAGATGTCTGCCATAGACGCAGGCAGGGGATGGGGGGTGATGGGAGGGAACCTAGGAACACTGGGCTGGGAAAGGTACACTGGTGGGCAGATGGGTGTTGGAATACTGTATGACTGAAATTCAATCATGAACAGTTTTGAAAGGGTCTATCTCACTGATTCAATAAAAAAGTTAAACTCATCCATCAGCATATATTAAAAGCTATGAATATATTGATACTATTTTTATTTTGGTGCCACACATGGTGCTGCTCAGGCTAGGCATACTCCAACTGCTCAGTGATCACTTCTGGCAATGTTCAGTGGACCATATTTGTGCCAGGATCAAATCAGAGGATGGTTACCCGCAGGGCAAAGCACCTCAATCTCTGGACTGACTATCTGGCTTTCACACTGATAAAAGTTAATGCCCTACCCACATTTCCATGGGACAGTTAATCTGGGACAGTAATTCTTCACTCTTCAGAGACTTGTCCAAAGTAGGAAAAAAAGAGCGAACTATTTATACATTTAAAGAAACATTTATTTTCAAGTTATTTTGTAACCAGCATAAATTAGGATAGATACACAAAATAAGGTCATTTGATAAGAAACAAAGAGAATTCACAACAGATTTACACTATGTATTAACTGCAGCAAAAACATTGAAACACAAAATCTAATTATTAGACCCAGAAGTTGAAGGCATATTGAAGGACTCCTTAATATGAGACCCAGGTTTTAAAAAGTTACCCGCTCTAGAATGGGTTCTATTACGAATCTGTTTCTTGATTATTTCTTGTTTCATTTCTTTTAACGTGAAATGGAACCTCTGAAACTCGGGTGTGGCATCAACGAAGTCAAGGAGAGAGTCCAGACTCTCTCTTACAGCAGCCAGAGTACATTCAGCAATCGGTTCTGCTCCCCCTGCTTTCTGAGCTACTTCCTTAGTAATCTCACCTTTTGTTTTTGGGGGGCTAACTTTTGCTTCCTCATTGCCATTTAACCATGTCTTGCCACCAACCAGCTTGTTTTCTAACTCCCCGCATTTCTCAAGAATTTCTCTGTAATCACCGTCCTCTAGGCATTGAAGATCATACTCGGGTTCCTTTTTGTAAAGAAGGTTTTCCCATGCATTTGCTAGAGTTATTTGTTTCACTTCATCCCAACTCTTTGCCCAGTTGAAAACTGCTCTTTTTATGTTGTAGGTTTTTATTTTTGAAACTCCTTTTTCTCCTTTATCTTGTTCATCATCACTTTCTTCAAAAATGACGAGACTTTCTTCCAGTTGCTTCCACCTGTAAAGTCGTTTGCAGCTCAGAATGACACCTTGATTCATAGGTTGAATCAAGGTTGAAGTGTTCTGGGGAAAAAACAAGCATTTTATTCGACCATCTTCGCTGGCTAATGATTCGGCAGAAGGGTGAACTGGGGAATTATCCAGAAGTAACAGTGCTCTGACATCCTCTTCATGGAATCTTAGAACGTTGCATTGGAAATGCCGGACCTCGGGAACAAAGTTTTGAAAGAACCATTCTGAAAACAATTCCCTGGTGAACCAAACATCCTTACTCTGTTTATACATCACGGGTAATGTACTTGTGTCCTCTTTCATACGTCTGGGCGGCTTTGACTTGCCAATAATAACTGACTTCAATTTGTGACTTCCGTTTGCGTTCGCACATAAGAGAGCGGACAGCCGCTCTTCGTTTATTTTCTTCCCGGGCAGGCAGATGTCTTTTCTGCTTGCTGGCGTGTTTTCTGACATTGACTTCCAAAAGAGGTCCGTCTCATCACCACTGTATAGTTGAGCTAGACACAGTTTCTCTTCTTTGATAAGTTTGGACAGTTTTTGTCGAAATGGCTCCACATTTTCTGAACTTAGGACTTGTTCACCACGTATTTTTCGGTTCCCAATCGCATGCCTGTTTCGAAATCGAAAGAGCCAACCAGTGCTGGCTTTGAAGTCTGTTCGCCCAAAGCACTGTGCAAACCTCTCTGCAGCAGCCTGTAGCTCCACGCCTCGGACGGGAATGCCCGCCGAGCGTTTCTGCTGGTACCACATGTACACTGCGTCATCCACATCGCTGTATTTGGCTCCTGTTGTTCTCTTTCTCTTTTCCGCTCCTACTAGTGGCATGTCCTGCTTCAGTACAAAGTCCAAGATCAATTTCTTATTCTTCCTAATGTCATAAAATGTTGATTTACTGATTCCAAATTCATCCATTACACTTTTAAGAGACCGTCCAGCTTCTATCCGACTCAGGACCTTCATTTTTTCCTCCAAATTCAGTGTTGTGTATTTCCCTCTCTTATTCATATTGAATTTGACTTCTAACAGCCGACAGGAGAAAGTATATGGAAAAGACTTACTGAAGTGGAGGAAACATTTTTCAAAACCGATTCCCTCCAAACTAGTTAAAAACCTAAGAAAAAGGGTTTTATAGGTAATGGGCTAAAAGGGTAGGGGCTCGTGATTGAAGGGCCAGGCTAAAGATAAATAGGTGAACTCAGAAAGCTGCCCTGTCCAAGTCCTATATAGTTAATCTCCTGAATGGCAAGCATGTCATTTCTCAGCACCCGGCATGCCCCTCCCCCCACAGAGGCAGCAGCACCCATCGGGAATAACAAAAATACTTGATTTGCCGGGGTCACTGTGATGACCAAAAAGGAAGAGCTGAGACGTGCCCACAGTAGACCCAGAAGAGATAAGTCCTCAATAAAGAAATGATACTGGAGAAATGGGAGACTTAATAAATGATACTGGAGAAATGGGAGACTTCATTTTGTATAGCAGATATGCAGTGAGGTTTCTCTTCCAAAAGGACCCAATTTTACCTGTCAAAAAAGAAAGCTCTGCTCATAATCGTTCTGCACATAGTTCACCAGACCACAATCCATGCCTGAATAAATAGTAAGCTACAAAGACCCCCAAAGATTGGGATGTTTAGAAAGTTGAAATTCAGAGAATTATATAGGACTTGAGGTGAAGAAAGTAAGCTCTGTTGCCATATTGAATGAAACCTAATTTTTGGTGCCACTAAAGTAACTCAGAATAGCTTTCCCAAAGAATGAGCTTTAACTTGAGGGTTTATTTTACTGAGGTAATTTGTAAGTAATTTCTTAGCTTTTTGCTGCTGTCAGATTATCTTCTGGACATCCAGCATATTCTCGAGTATTATTTTTCACTGAAACTTCCATATTTTGGATATTATTTTCAAAATTATGGCAATTCTTTGGTAGTTCAAAAGCTTTACAGATTTTGTGCCATAGTTTAAAACGAAATTTCAAAGAGCTGTCATTTTCCTAAGTTTACATAACCATGCTAAATAACAAACTTTTCATATTTGAGATTTGATTTTTGTTTTGGTTTTGCTTCATTCGAACCAAGACTCAAGTTTTCCACTGCCTGAAGAAAGTGAAACGATTTCTCTACTGGTGTTTCTGATAAGTTATTTCCCACGAATCCTGTTGATAGACTCTTCAGTAGCTGTGCCCGCAATTCGTTTCAGATTCTCCTGGTGCTGCCTAATGCCCTTTCAGGTTCTTTAGAAATGTCCTACCCTAGATTAATTTCATGGTTCTCATTCCAGATACACACCCTCATGGGAAGAAATTAAAACTGCCACTTACATCCATTCCAGGTGCTGTGAAGAAAGAAAAGATTGTCAGCGAAATGAGGAAAACGACTGCTCTTCCAGCTAGTTTTCCTCTCCTTTAGAACAGGGTCTTCCTGGCTTTCATTTATTCAGCTACACAGAACTCTTGCAAGTCTTCGCTTTAGGAACCCAGGAGAGTGTACACCATTGGTTTCCCTCCTACATTTGTGCAAGAAATGCACTTCAAATAAAGGAGCACAGAGAATTGTGAAAGGATATGATAATATTGTGGAGTCAAAAAGTTAAGTTTAAAAGAGACAGAACAAAGGCCAACAACTAAGAGGTAGCTTTTTTTCCCCCTTTGTGTTACACCTGTCTGTGCTTAGGGCTTACTCCTGGGCTCTGCTGTATTGGATGTTAGAGATCAAACCGGTCAGCTGTGTACAAGGCGTGTGTCCTAACCGCAATACTGCTGGCCCAGAGGTAACTTTTTAATTGAAAAATGCATTTATTTGCTACTCAAGAGTATCACTATGAACTCTGGTGGTCACTTAGATAAAACTTGCAGCTTGCTATAGTATCCTAGAGCAAACTCCATGCGTTTATTTTCATCGTCGTTTCCCAGGAGTAGATTTAGTGTCTCTCGGACCAGGGGAAGGTGAAGTCAAAATGAAAAGTTCGGGGACTTTTTGTGGGTTCTACAAGCATGGAGAAGTAACCCTGGTGCTAAACTTCATACAACGAAAACCAACAGTGGCTCTTTGCCAGTTGCCCCTTGTGTCTCATGCTGCTTCAGGGGGTTTCTCATTCCTCCTCGCATCCCCCCTAATCACTCCTTAGCCATACTAGGAAATGGGCCTGCCAGTGACACCAGCAGGCACTGCTGTAGAATGTCATTCAGTATGATGCAAGCATTACTGTCACTGGATCTGAAACTAGGCACAGAAACAGGTGCTAACAAAGTGCGCCTATTCCGAGACAAGGTAGTCCAGGCGCGCAGGTGACCTAGGCAAGGATTTACAATGGCTTCTGATTCCGCCTTTTCTCCCCAAAGAATTCAGGATGTATGCCAGAGGACCAGCCTATCTCCAACAGCACGAAGTCTAATGGCTCAGAACTGGTCCACTTTCACTGGCATTAAACTTACCTCCAGCAGATTTGTCCTAGAAAGAGGTTCTCTTAAAAACCCTCCAACAGTGCTCCAGGAACTACTTTACTAAATGCAATCTCTGTTCCCAAACTGCTAGGAATGCTAATGGGAGCTTCTTTTCGCTTTTTGGGTGACTTCTGCGACGGGAGGTGGAGTTAGGGTTAGGGAGGTGGGGTAGGGGCCCTCTGAGGTGCTGAGTCGGCTGGTGACAAGTCCGCGCCCTCCCTGCTGTCCATTGCTGGGCCTTGCCCTTGTTCTCAGTTCCGCAAGCCAGCCCAACTACATCTGATCACACAGTTTCCTGCGTTCTTCGCCGCGCTCTCAGGCCGTAGGTCTTTCCCTGGGGCGGGCCCCAGTGCTGGCCCTTGGGGGCTTTGGGTTCCCGGCTGCCAGTCAGCCGCGATCGCCCACGGGGCCACGATCGCCCACAGCCTCAACGGTTCTTTCCGTACCCTGGGCCACCGGGCCGAGACGGGGCCCACGCCCCCGGCCACACGGGCACCACCGCCTTAGGGGGCCGGGGAGGCGGGGGCCCCGCGCGACCCTGAGCGTCGCTTCTCGGGCCCAAGGTCTCGGTCAAGGAGAGAGACTGAGCTGCTGCGCAGGTTAAACCCACCTCACATAGCCAAAAGCGATCGTGAGGGACGCGCCGCCCTGACAGGGGCCCAGGCCCCTCGGGCCCGCCGTTTCCGACGGGGACGGCCTCTCACGCAGGGGCTGCGTGGGCCGGACTCCCGGCCAGCAAGTGCAGCCGAGCCGACGCCGAGACGAGGACGCGGCGGGTCGGGCTGCGCGCAGGCCCCTCTAGGCCTCGGCCGGCCGGAGACTCGGTGGCCTTAACTCTTTCCCGGCTCCGCTACCCCAGACCGGAAGTCGCTTCCGGGCCGGTAGCTGGAGCGGAGACGCCCCGGAAGTGCGTCATTTGCGCTTCCGGTTGGCGGGCTCGCTCAGTCGCTCGCTCTCTCCTGGCCGCGGGGTAGGAATGGGCTGGAGCCGTTGGCGTGCTTCGGTGTTGCCCGTGGCTCCCTCGTCGTGGGGTGGAGGGCGGAGGGCTCGCGGCCGCGGCGGTTGAGCGTGCGGAGGACGGGGCGGCCCAGGTGACCCCGCCGCGGTTCCCTCTCCGGTCCCGGCCGGCTGTGGCGCCCTCGCACCCCGCGCCTCGCCGCCGGCCACGCCGCCGAGACCAGTGCGGAACCGGCCGCGGCTCCCGGGGACTGACGGCGTTGGTGCCGGCGGACCCCGCGGCCCGCTCACTGCTGTCGCCTTCCCCAGGTCTCCGAGCCCCCGGGAAGAAAAGCCCGACGCGCCGTGAAGCGAAGGCGCCCCCCACGCCGGAGCGGCAGGCGCACCCGCTCCCTGCACGCAGGTACTGCACGGTAGAACCTAGGAGAAGCTCAGGGTGGCCCCCGGCCGCCCCGTGATGCTGGGACAAGGGGAACAGGTAGCACCGCTGAAATCGGGTGGTTCCAATACTAGAGGCGGTGAATGCCGCGGTCCTCACCGACCGGCCTCTCCTGGGTTATTTCTATGAGATGTTGTCATCAGTTGCCTTGTATCTTCAGTGGGCTGTGCAGTGGTTTAGGTGAGTGGTAGAAGAGAACAGAAATAAAAGCCTTGATCGTTTTTTGTTTGTTTGTTTTTGTGTTTGTGTTTTTGCTATTGGGCAACCCCAGGCTGTGCTCAGGATTTCCTCCTGGCTCTGCACTTGGAATCACTCCTGGTAGGCCCCGGGTACCATGCCAGGAATCAAAGCTGGGTCAGCCGTGTGCAAAGCAAGGGCCCTGCCTGCTGTACTCTCTCCCTGGCTCCTATAGTTGATTTTTAAAGGGGTTGCAGGGCCCGTGGCTGCTTTTTGTTTCCCTTTGTATCGTTTTTAGATCTTGTGAAACGACCTGAGCATTTTTCCCCCCAGCACTCAGTGCCTTAGAAAACATCCAGCTATTGATTTTGAACCGGACCAGACTGGGCCTCAGCCGTCAAAGCTGTGCTGGTGAGAAGCAAAACGATCCCAGAGCACAATGATGACTGTAGACCTGAAGGTGACTGAATACTTGAACTCTCACGTCAGGGCTCTGTGGGAGACCAAAAGACCTGTGACAGAGAGCTCCAGTCAGAGTAAGAAATACACTCCACAAACCAGCATTTTCCAATCCGAGAACTTTCGCCAGCACTTCCGGGGCTTCCGCTATTGTGAAGCAGCTGGGCCCCGTGAGGCTGTTAGCCGCCTTCAGGAATTCTGCCATCAGTGGCTGAAGCCTGAGATCCACTCAAAAGAACGGATCTTGGAACTTCTGGTGCTTGAGCAGTTCCTGACCATTCTGCCCAGAGACACGGAGACTCAGCTGAAGAAGCAACGGCTGCAGACCATCGAGGAGGCCGTGGCACTGGTGGAATGCTGGCAGAGGGAAGCTGCTCAAACAAGGAATGGGGTGAGAAAAAAAATTCCTGATTTACCAAAATAGGGTGGAGGTGGATATTTGGGTGGTGGACAGTTAGTCCAAAAATCAATGAATTAGGTCACCTAGCTGTTTGGATTTTGGTTTGGGATCACTCATGGTGGGGCTTGGAGGACCAGATGGGTGCCAGAGATTGAATCTGCGCTGGCTGCATGAAAGGCAAGTGCCCGTCCCGCTGTACACTGGCCCCAGCCCCCTGGTATTCTTTCAGTATTGTATCTTTGATTCTGGCTCTTGGGGATGCTGAACAGTGTGGCCGGGCAGGGCATAGTAATCTTGGATGTAAGTGGAGTAACGTTCTTCAAAAGAAGCTACAGTTCCAGGGTCTGTAATGATAGCACAGAAGGTAGGGCGTTTCTGGGTTCAGTTCCCAGCATCCCATATGGTTCTCTGAGACCTCCAGGAATAATTCCTGAGAGCAAAGTCAGGAGTACCCCTGAATATTGCTGGGTGTGGCCCAAAACCAATACCTCCGCCCTCCTTTAAAAAAGAAAAAGGAGAAAAAGGTAGAGTTTCACAGGGCTTCCTTTTTTTCCTCTGAAAGGGAAGCAAGTTTGGGAACCTTTCCTTTATTCCTCTGAAAAAGAGGCAAGTTTGGGAACCTTTTCAGAAAGCAGGAACTGAAGTAGACCTTTAGCAGAGTCAGTGCAGAGTTTTCAGAGCTTCTGGCGGTGACTGTTGTCTGGCCTTGAAGAGATGTTGCTTTTTGCTTTCTGTAGCCAAGATTTACATAAGAGTTATAAGCCTGACGGGGTTGGTCAAGACACATACTAGGTGTTTAGGAACAAAGGCATTAGGAGACATGGAGATAAAAGGGCAGGTGAGAAACGGGAGGTGCTTAAAAAGAAGAAAGGGGGCCAGTCGCTATGGTTCAGAGGAAGAGCACACGCGTAACATTCCAAGCCCTCAGTTCAAGCCCCACACATTGGGGCATGGCCCCTAAAAGCCACCAGGTATGACACAAGTCCAAGGGCGGGGCTGGAGCGATAGTACAGCGGGTAGTACTTTTTGCCCTACACAAGTCAATGTGAGTATGGTACGGTTCCTGAGCCCACCAGGAGTAATTTCTGAGTGCAGAGCTAGGAGTAGCCTCTGAGCACTGCTGGGTTTAGCCCCTCCCAAAATAAAAGGGGGCCACCGAGATAGCTATGGACCGGAACTCTAGCTCTGCCTGCATGCAGAAGACCTGGGCTTCTCCTGGCACCACATGCTTCCAGAACAAAGAGCAAGGAGCCGGCTCCCAAGCGCTGCTGCTGTGGCCCTCAAACAAAGAAAATGGACTTTATTTGGCTTTTGGACCATATCTGATGATGCTCAGAGCATATACGTGTTTCTGCGCTTGTGGATCACTTCTGGCAGGTTCTTGGGATACTTTGGGGTGCCAGGGATTGAGCCTAGATCAGTTGTGTGCAAGGCAAGTGTCCTATGCTGGGTACTGTCTCTGGTCCCCCTCCACCCCCAGTTTTAATGAAAGAAGAAAAATGATAACAAACAGAAGGAGAAATCAAATGACTAGGGGGAGACTGCATTAAAAAGGAAACAAAACAGTGATTATGAAATCTCAAGAGTGACAGAAAAGTGCTGGGGGATAGTATTCAGTGTACTCCAGATAAGCGACTGCACTGCCTTGTTAGTGTTGGCCTGTGACTCTACTAAGGACGAGGTATTCCCTTAGCAGGTGGCAGCCTACTCTGAAGACTGGTAGATGTTGGTCATCAGACATTGGTTATCATTTGGAGATAAGACTAAACTTTTGCCTTTTCTTTGTATTTCATTTACATTCTCTGATATATTCCTGATACAGGGGAAGTGACAGGACTTGTAAAAATCCTATTTTTTAGCCTTTTAACAAAAATAGGGATTCCAGGTGTCACCCCTGCAGTGTTACAGGGCCAGGTGACGCTGGAGAAGTTGAAAGAAAGTCTTGGACGGCATTGTGAAAAGAGGTGATCTGTACAAGAGTTGTCTGAACTGAGCTGTATGCAGCTGGGTGGAAGACCTCTGTAAGAGAGGACTGGCAGGAGCCATACCTCCTTTTATTCTGATTTCCCCAGATTTGTGGCTAGTTCTTTGTGTAATATATCAGTGGCCCATTATTTTATATCATTTAAGTCTTTATCATTTTAGTATCTCACACTTCCTACATTCTGAACTTTCACTTGCTCTTCTCCTGAACCACCAACACCCAAATCAAAATTAAATTTTCTGGTAACGAGGATGGGGATTAATTCTAGGTTGCAGCCCATGATCTGGGAAAGGAAATGGTGCTCTTTGGAGAAATATCAGCCGCTCCAGGTTCCAAGCTAAAGCCACCAGAATTCCAGCCAGTGAACCTATGTCAGAATGAAGAATTTTGGAATACATACAGGGGTCTGCAAGAACAGCTGAGCTGGAACACTCAGAAAGACACTGAGCCTTTATGTGAGAGGGGTAAGAAACTTTGTAATAATTTTCTTCTGCTGGGTGTTATGCAGATAAGAAAGCCAGAGTAGAATGCTGTGAGCGGTTTCTGGAACCCGGCTCCGGCTCTATCACCCCATCCTACACCCAGATAGCAGTTGCAGAAAGCAGTTGTAGAACACAGTGGGAGTTGGCGTACAGGACAGTCCAGAAATAACCAATAACCAAGCTCCAGAACTCTAAAGTAGAGAAGGTTAAGGTCACTTCGTAATTACTAAGTCCAGAAGGAATTGGGATTAGAAAGAGACTGTTGGCAGAATGTGGACACAGTTGTGTGCCAGGAAAATATACACTGTAGTCCCTGACTACTTCATTTTCAAATTTTGTTTTCAGGCCATACTTGGCTGTACTTTGGGTTCACTCTTGGCAGTGCTGGGGAGTCATATACTGTGCTAGGACTAGAACCAGCATCTTTTGTGTGGAGGCAAGTGCCTTGACCTTTGTACTGTTTCTTTGGCCCCATGAAATACATTTTTTTTTTTGCCTGTCTATAAACAAGTTATTATTGGAGGTGAATAAAAATGGTTTTCTTCGGGCCAGAAAGAACAATGCAAGGGTTAAGGTGCTTATCTTAATGCACAACTCTGGTTAGGTCTCCGACACCATGTATGGTCTGAAATTTTAACAGGAGTGACCCTGAGCACCACCAGGTGTGACCCAAACACCCCAGCACCCTCTCGCTCCCCACAAGAAAGAATCCGGATATTAAGAGAAATAAGAGATTTCATTTGGCTCTTTTCCAACCACAGCTCTTCCAGCATACCAGCCTCTAGCCTTTCCCGAGCAGACAAACACCAAAGACTGGACAGTGGCACCTAAGCTCATCTTGCCTGAGTTCCAGGTGAGCTGTAGTTCTCCATTGCCTATGTGCCACCCTGCCCAGCAGGTGCTCAGGAGCACATTAACTCACTGTTCTCCCTGGAGAAACCACACTTCTCAGGCGACTTGCCCGTCCTCTGCCCGCTTGCTCCTCTCTTGCTTGGTAATGATCACGCCTTGCCTTTAGTCCCTGGATTACTGTGCAGTTCACGGGCTGGGTGGAAGGACTGTGTCCATAGTGGCAAGTACTGACTGAGCTGAAGCCCATTTTCTTTCCTAGAGCTTGTTGGCATTTGAAGAAGTGGCCCTATATTTTTCCCAGGAAGAATGGGCGTTACTGGATCCCACTCAGAAGGCCCTCTACAAGGATGTAATGCAGGAGAACTATGAGACTGTTGTCTCTCTAGGTAAAGATTCTCCTTGGTAGAATTCAGTAACCATCATGTTCTCGGCTTCCTGAGGGATCCAATAGGAGTGTTACTTCTCTGATAGTTGGTTAATCTCAACTAGATGTTGCGCGGGAGGGGAAAAGTGTGCACAGCACCTGGATCTTCTTTTTTTGGTGCATGTTCATTCTTGATCTTATTTAAAAAAATGTTTTTTGTTTTGTTTTGTTTTTTCGGGTTACACCTGGTGGTGCTCAGGTCTTTGTCCTGGCTCTGCACTCAAGGATCAGTCATGGTGGAAGATCAAAGGAATATCTGGGGTGCTGGGGTTTGAACCAGGTCTGGCTGCGTGCAAAGCAAGCAAGCACCGCACCTGCCGTACCATCTCTTCAGCCCTGTTTCAATTTTGTTGTTGGAAGGAAAATTTTCATTCGCTCTGAAATCAGGAGTCCTATTGCGTCACACCTGCTGCACCCACTGGACACGAAGTCCTACTCTCCCCTCACCCCCAGACACCGTCTTCCTCCCTGTCTCCCAGCCTTAGCACCAGACCTTCCGAGCTGTGAGTTGCACCCAGGACCTGCTAAGCTCAGCCACTGCCACCCCCGGGGCCTCCCAGGCCTGCATGCGCACAGTGAGTGGGAGCACCCCGTGCGGAGCCAACGTTGCTCAGGCACTGTGGCATGGGGAAGTGAAAATGAAATTGGCTTTTCTGAGAGATGGTAAGAGCTGCACCGGCTGCAGTGAGCACCTCCCAGCTTGGCGGCTCGCACTCCCTCCACCGCCACCTCTCAATTGCACGAGCTCGAAAACCGTTTTAAATTCTTGAACCTTTCCTCATCCCACCACTTTCCAGAGCTCCCCTTCTCTTTTCCTTCTCCGTGTTGGTATTACTGTGCACCCATGATCTCAGGTACAGCTGTGTGTTACTCTGGTTTTGATTGTGTCATCATACCCCATCACCGGCCCAGTAGGCCTCTTAACTCCACCTTCACAGTAGAGCCTAGCATGCCCTCATCTCAGCTGCACTCTTAGCTTCCTAACCTAAGCCAGTGTGTCCCCAAACAGAGTAGTTTTCTAATGGGCTCTTGCCCTCGGACGATCTCTTGTCTACACAGTTGTCAGAAAGGTCTTATTATCTTTCCCCTTTCTTTGTTGCCTTTCTTGTTGCAATCACCGGGGTCTCACACTTGTTTGCGGTCTAGGGATCACAAATGGTCATGCTGGAGGCTGAAATCAAGGCCTCAGGCCTGCAGAGCAAATGTTCCACCAGTGAGCTGTCGGACTCTGCAAGGATTTTATTAAAAATCCAAATCGGGGGCTGGAGTGATGGTACAGTGCATAGGTCTCACATGCCTTGCATCTGGCAGACCTTGCTTCAATCCCCAGCACTCCAGCTGGTTCCTTTAGCTCTGCCAGGAGTGATAGCAGCTCAGAGCTAGGAGTAAGCCCTCAGCACCACTGGGTGTGGCCCAAAAAGTCAAGGGGGCGGGGGGGGAATCCAGATCAAGGGCTGGAGAGATAGTATGATGGGTGAGTTCTTGCCTTGCATGCAGGTCACCTGGGTTTGGACCTTGGCACTGCGTATGGTTATCTGAGCCCTGCCTGGAGTGATTCCTCCTTAGTGCAGAGCCAGATACCACCTAGTACAGCCCAGAACCAAAAAGAAAACAAAATTTAAAAACCAAATCAGGGAACAGGGTTTTGTCTCTGGTAGGCACATGCCTAGCATATGTGAGGCTCTGGTTTGATCTCTAGCACCACAAAAGTAGACCCCCAAAAAAAATCCGCTCACATCATGACATTTTCTGTTTCATCACTCAGGAAACCTATCACAATAAAATCCAACCAAAATCTTTATTGCGTCCCTCAGGACCTCCCAAGATATCTGCCCTTACCTAACTTCCCAACACGCAGCTGCCACTTGTGCCCTGGCTCAGTCCTTTATAGCTACACTAGTTGTGTCTCACTGCTAGTTTGGGTTTGTTTTGTTTAGTTTTGTGGGCCCCAGTGCTCAGGGCTTACTCCTGTCTCTGCGCCAAGAGTCACTCCTGGCAGGGATTGGGACTATATGAGGTGTCTGGGGTCAAACCCAGCTTGACTGCTTGCAGGGCAAGTGCCCTTCCTGCCGTACTATTGCTCAAACCCTGTAGTCTCTCCTTCCTTCCTTCCTTCCTTCCTTCCTTCCTTTCTTCCTTCCTTCCTTCCTTCCCTCCCTCCCTCCCTCCCTCCCTCCCTCCCTCCCTCTTTCCCTTTTCTCTGCTTATACTTTTATGATTTGGCGGCCATACCTGACTGTGCTCAGGACTTACTCCTGGCTCTGAGCTCAGAAATCCTGGTGGGACTTGGGAGAATCATATGGGATGCCAGGGATCCAGCCTGGGTTGATGGCATGCAAGGCAAATGTCCTCCCAGTTGTACTGTTGCTATGGCCTCAGCTCACACATTTTAGCTGTATGGCAAAACTGACTTTCAGGATTCTATTCAAATATCACTTTCTCAGGCCTTCCACTCAAGCTTATCTAAGATAGCTTCACAGGGGTACAATCTGAAATGTTCTCATAATCTTCTCTAATTTTCTTCAAAATATTAATTACTTTTGAAGGGTTTGTGTTTTCTGTAACAGTTTGTGTTAGTCCATAGATCAGGGCTTTGATAGTCACTGTTATATCCCTAGTCTATTGAGTATCTGACACACTAGAGCCCACGAGACATTTTTCATTAAATCAGTGATGAATACTTACCATACTAATAATCTCCGTGCAGGAAAAGTTTGTTAGGATTCTGAGTTTTTCCTTTCACGTATATGTGAACTACCATTAGTAGTAAATGATGAGAACCTTTCCTAATGCAGCGCCTGGTGCTCAGGAGTGCCATAACATGTTAATGTAGTTATTATAAGGATGACTGGCGTATGGGATGCCCACGGACCTTAATGCTGGATTCCTAAAACTTGATCTTATTCGGTATAAATCCTTTAACCAGTTGTTGACGTGAGTTTTTCCATTTTACAGCATTATTTGTGCTTCCCAAACCTAAAGTGATCTCCTGTCTAGAGCACGGGGAAGAACCTTGGGTTCAAGGACCCCTTCCGCGCAAGGACAGCCCAGGAATGTTGCCTGCAGGTAAATACACCAGGTGAAGAGAATTAGGCCTTGATTAGGACTGTTGCAAAAGTTGAGTTTTAAGGTCTGCTTTGTTTTCATTTTGGGCTACACCTGGCAGTGCTCAGGGGTTACTCTTGGCTCTACACTCAGGAATTACTCCTGGGGACCATGTGGGATGCTGAGGATTCAGCTTGGGTGGTCTATACCTTACTCGCTGTAGTATGACACTAGCCCCTTTTAAAATAATACTTTTTAAAAAAATCAACAAAACCTTCTTTTCTATGCCTCTTGCTCTGCCATACAGATGGTGGCTGATTCTTATGTTTATTTCAACAGGGTTAAAAAATGACATTGAAAATCATCAGCCTATATGTCTTTCTAACTTAGAAGTACAAGCACCAGGAGATATAGTGTCCAAAAAGATTAAAATAAAAGTCTCCCAGAAAACAACAGGTGAAGAAAATCATGGTGATATGCAGAGGGCAGGGAAATGGCACCGAGATAGTCCAGTGAAGAAAAAAAAGAAGCTTTCAAGTTGGAAACAAGAACTGCTGAAACTCATGAACCTTCACAAGAAGCACCGAGCAGGAGAGAAGCCTTTTAAATGCCAGGAGTGTGGGAAAAGCTTCAAAGTTAGTTCTGACCTTATTAAGCACCAAAGAATACACACGGAAGAGAAACCGTATAAGTGTCATCAGTGTGATAAAAGGTTTAGGTGGAGTTCGGATCTAAATAAGCATTTAACAACACACCAAGGAATAAAACCATATAAATGTTCATGGTGTGGGAAAAGCTTCAGTCAAAATACAAATTTACACACACACCAAAGAACTCACACTGGAGAGAAGCCTTTTACTTGTCACGAATGTGGGAAAAAATTTAGTCAGAACTCCCACCTTATTAAACATCGGAGAACCCACACGGGTGAGCAGCCGTATAGCTGCAGTACATGCAGGAGAAATTTCAGCAGACGGTCGAGTCTTCTTAGACATCAGAAACTGCATCGGTAAGGGAATGTGTTCTGGTCTCCTCAGTCAGAAGAAACACATTCCGTGGATATGACCTCAGTTTTTTGAAAACCTACATCGTGAGGCATGAAGAATTTTATCAGTGGAATTTGGGAATATATAAGCATTTCACAAACAAGTCAGGTCAACTGTAAGGGTTAAGATAGGTGTTCTGAAAACATTTGAAACATTTTGTACAAGAGAAAATCTCCAGGGAATGTAGCTGGCATGATAGCAAATTCCACTTTAAATAGTTGAGGCAACTGGAAGTCATCTCTGGTGACTAGCCCCAGGTAGCCACATACAAAACAAATGCCCTGCCCACTGTATCGTCACTGATGCATCCACTTTAACACACAGTGGGGGTGTTTGTACCATAGTCTTCCACAACAGCAATAAATGTGCAATGATTGTATATCACCTTAAGGTCACAGGGCTACCGTCACAAGTAGCCTAATGGAAGAAATGTACTCTAATGTAGTGTTAGCTAAGAATCAAGAGAATTTTCTTCCATTCTCATAATTGAAACACTTCACAGAGTTAGACATTGAGTTCCTTCTTGAACTTCTTGTAAACTTTAGCTCTTGAATTTTTACAGTGCTGATGTAATTTACTTCACTGAGAAATTTGCCACATGAGCTAATAATGCACTCTTATGTCTCTCATTGGTGATGTTTGAAGAAAGGAAAACATCTCTAATGAGATCATACAAAAACGGGTTGGAATTTTTAGCCATGAATTCTATATATATAGAGAGAGAGAGAGAGAGAAAGTTGTAAAGGGTTGGGTTGTAACTTAGTGGTAGGTTCTGGGTTTAGTACCTGGTACCACAAAAATGTAATTTTCTGCAGTAAAAGCAGCTAGATTGTTCCTTACCTCATAATGTCAATAGGATAAAATAGCCATATAATTACTATTTGCTCAAGATCTAAAAAATTAATGAATTTAGGTTCAACTCAGGTTTTTGTTTTGAATGTGGCTTATTGATGACATTGAGCTGTGTTGGTGTCAGACTCCAGCATTTGCTGCGGACAGGCTCCTGGGGCAGTCCGCAGGAGACGGGGTTCCAGAGGGAAAACCTTTAGAGCCGATTCTCCACAGACAAATTCATTTCCATGTTGTTGAAACATGTTACATGTTACACTTTTAAGTGAGAAGTTTAGTGTCCTCTAATATGGAATTTGGCAGACGCTTTAGGTGATGTACTGCTACAAGTACAGGCTGTGGATGGATTTTATTTTCATGCACCTTTGGTGGGGAGGGGGTTGCAGGCCACACCTGGCTGTGCCTGGTGCTCTACGCTCAGGAATTGCAGTGCTTAGGGGATCCTTTGAGGTGCTGAGGATCAGACCTGGGCTGGCTGTAAGCAAGGTAAGCCTTCTCTGCTGTGCTGACTCTTAATTCATCTTTTTATCCACAACAGTGACATGTTAGGAAGAGGTTTAAATTATTTCTTTCTCATATATGAAGTTAGTGGTCCAGACATACAGGAAGCTGTTGACTCCATAGCTAGAGGGTCCCTTGGCTGTCACTTAGCTTCATCCCGAAGGCAGGATTATAGAAGGCTAGCATGTCATGTCATGCTTGTACAACCAGCCTACCATTGTATCTAGTTCTAGCTGATAAAGCATTCATATTAGTTAAGATGCTCTCCATTTTCTGTATAAGATAGGTAGCACTTAGAATTGTTGTGGGCATTAGATAAATCGGGAAGTTCTCTAGTGTACTCAGTTGATTTGGTTTTTGGAGTAAGAGCCAATTGAGCACTTGTTCTGCCACTATTTGCAGGGATCCCCCTCCCTCCCCCCCCCCCCCCCCCCCCCAGATTCTCCAGATCAGCTCCTTGGAGTGTTTCTGGAGAATAGACTGACAGTCCGGTCTGTGGAGCTCTTCTCCAGCACCTTCGTCCCGGGGATTGCAGGTTTTGGTTTTGTTTGGGGCCATGGCCAGTAGGGCTCAGGTTATTCCTGGTTCAGGGATCACTCCTGGTGTGCTTGGGTGACCATGTGGGGTTTAGGACCAAGCCCAAGTTGGCCACATGCAAGGCTAGTGTCCTCCCTGCTGCATTACTGCTCTGGCCCCAGGGGACTACCTTTGGAGGGTTCCAGTCATTCTTTTAACTCAATTTAGTGAGGGCTTGTTAACATATTTTGCATGGCTCTAGACAGGACACAGCAGCCAACAAGAGACATACCTCAGAGTGTATCCCATAGAGTGTAGGGGAAAGAAAGCGATGTTTCCCATCTTTGGGGTTAGGCAGGGCCTCCAGTTACTGTCAAGGACTGAGCAGAAGCTGCTGGGCTGAAGCAGTGGCATGAAACGGGCTTCCTTCCCTTCCCTCAGTCATGCAAGCTCACAGAAGACCTGTGAGACCAAAGAAGTTTGTGACTGAACCCCCACCTAGTCAAGCTGCGTTTAGAGTCCCCCAAGGCTGTAATGTATTTTGTAGTGATGAAAAATAAATTTTTATTGTTTATAAGCCACAGAATTTTGGTGTTACATGCTTCTGGAGTATAACCTGGCCTGTTTTACAAGTGACTGTTCTAGCAGCCGCAGCAAGTAGGTCATTTGCCTTGCACAATCCCCAGCACCCCATAGGGTCCCTTGAGCACCTCTGGGTGTGGCCTCAAAACCATAAAAAATAGCTGTTCTAGAACTCAGAATCATTTTTCTTTCCATTTTGTTCATCCTCAGATGATGGGTCAGTTTCCTGTGGTTGTTTGATGGGGAGGCTTGTGTCCCTGGGTGGGAGGGAGGCTGAGCACTTGCATGGGACACGTGCAGGTGAGTTGTCCCAGCAGGCAAGGCAGTTTTCCTTCGCTGCCACTACTGCACTGACCATTTGTTCCACTGCCCTGTATTGCACTGAGTGGGCTTGGCGGAGGGCCCCTTGAGGAGGGCAGGACCTGCTGCCTTTCCTTCCTTGTGCGAGATCAGTAGATACCAAGGAATGGCTTGGCACCTCCCGCTGACCAGCTTTGGAATTGTCTCAGCTGGCAGAAGCACATTGGCAAGTGGACAGCTGGGATGGGAAGCAGGTCACTCAGGAGAGCGAGAAACCTCCCGTGGGACAGTCCCCATGACCAGAAACAGCAGCACGGTGACTTGGCTTTGGGGAAACAGGAGGAAGTTGGGGTTTCTTACAGCCTCATCAAAGTGGGGAGCGATTACTTGAAACACAAGGCCAGGTCCTTTTGATGTTTAAAAGTGAAATCTGAAAAATGTTAGGTTCATCTTCAGGCTGAATGTTCTCGCAAATACACCCTCCATACAGAGGGTTTCTTGGACAAACCGTAAAGTGCCTTTAGTTTTGCTCAGATAACAGCCTTACATTGGCTCCAAGTTGGTTCTGAAAATATTGTCTAAATCTACCCATTTTGGGGGGCTGGAGTGATAGCACAGTGGGTAGGGTGTTTGCCTTGCACGCAGCCGATCCGGGTTTGATTCCCAGCATCCCATATGGTCCCCTGAGCACTGCCAGGAGTAATTCCCGAGTGCAGAGCCAGGAGTAACCCCTGTGCAATGTCCGGGTGTGACCCAATAAAGCAAAAAAAAAAAACCTACCCATTTTTTTTGAGTTGGTGCAAATGGCCACAATGTAGTTACCACCCCAGATCGTTTTCCCCGTCATCAGACTGGAACCCCAAGCTGAAAAAACTCAGCTATTTTGGCGGCGGGAGTTGGGGTGGGGGTTGGAGGGGGAATGATAGACATCGGCGATGCTTGGGTTACTCCTGGCAAGGCACTCTGGAGTCACCCGGGGGGGGGGGGGTGCTCCAGACAGTTGGAATACCAAGGATCGAACCCAGGTCAGCTGCGTGCAAGGCAAGTGCCTTAGTCATTGTATTGTCACCCTGCCCCACCTCATTTATTTGCTTTTTTTCGGGGGGTTGGGGGTCACACCTGTTGATGCACAGGGGTTACTCCTGGCTCTGCACTCAGGAATTGCTCTTGGCGGTGCTCAGGGGACATATGGGATGCCGGGGATCGAACCCAGGTCGACCGTGTGCAAGGCAAATGCCCTATTCGCTGTGCTATCACTCCAGTCCCCCCATCTCAGTCATTGACTAGTTAGAGTGAAAAGAAAGGGAGCTGGAAGAAAACAAACTGGGGGAGATAGTCCTGGGGCGGGGGGTGCTTATCTTACACGTGGCCTACTGGGGTTTGATCCCAGCGTCCCATTTTGGTTTTCTGAGCACCTCCAGGAATGGTGCCTGAGAGCAGAGCCGAGTAAGCCCCAAGAGCCCCCCAGTAAAATCCTAAATCTGAGAGGCCCAGGATTCTGAGGACCTGGCACAGCATGCCCTTCTTCCTAGTGCCACCCAGTGTGACTCGAAGCTATAGCAGCCACAACAAACATTGCCCAGGCTTTGAGCCGATGGTGGTATCATGGAGCCAAGTGTTTGGGCCTCTGGGCTCGCCAGAGTCTCAGCTATCTCGGTATGAAACTTTCCCTTTATGAGATACGCTTTTTTAAAAAATGTGCTTTGGGCCACACGCAGGGTTACGGGGCTCCCTCCTTGCTCTACCCGGGGCTCTGGCAGGCTCAGGGGGCCATGTGTGGTGCTGGGCGTTGAAGCCAGGTCTGCTGTGAGCAAGACAAGTGCCCTGCCCATTGCTATCAGAACAATCCTTTTAGAATATTGTTTTTGTTTTTTGTTTTTTTTTTTTTCTTTTTCCAAATGCCTTTACCTTTTACCTTTTTTCCAAATGACATTTGGAATAACAGATTGGTCATCCTAAGGAAGTTTCAAGTGGCCATTAATCACTTCCCTGAGATTTGTACTGAGTGCCTTCTGCAGTTTTCTGACCAGGTCCCAGTCTCGTGTGTGATAGATCAGAGCTTTCGCTGTGTGCCAAACACAGTAACAAGAAGTCTCATGATGGAGACGTTACTGGGCCCGCTCGAGGAAATCGATGAACAACAGGAGGACCGTGACCGTGACCGTGATTCGTTGTGTGAATTTTCTCTTTGGAAATTTTCCTTAAATACTTTGAATTATTTACTCTCCACATTCCATGGACTGGTTTCTATTCTATGTGGTCTCTAAGATACTCCCAATTGAGAAATACTGCATTTTTATCCCCATTCTATTAGTAGGGTCCTTTCTAAACAAGTACAAAAGCATATTGTTTCTGATTTATCCACATCTGTCACTTTTTAGTGTCTTGTGTGGATAACTCTGGAGCACCATTTGCAGCATCTTTAGATTTCTCTATATGTAGGATTTTCTTCCTGGCTGAATCCTCTGTCACACGGTCCTGTGAGGCTATTCAGCCAAGCGGCCATGAGGAGTTTCATCCTGCATTTGGTGTGGAGCAGTTCCTATCATGTGCTTCTTGTGATACTATTTAAACAAGCAAACCCTGGTCTTATATTTAGTTTCAGACTAAGGGCAGCTGTCAACGTCACTTCTCACTAATAGCACAGTAGGGAGATGAATCTCAAATTACACTTCGCATTAAAGAGAAACTTAGCTATGGTATTTGAATATAAGATACCTTTTAAGAAAAATTCCATTAGTAGGCATATATCATATATTCCATAAGTCGTATATTCATTGGTCTAAGTTTTTTAAGACCAATGAATAATATTTCCAATACAAGTTTCACACAGAGATTTTGATCGTGACTTGTCAAAACTACCAAACCATGTGGTGCTGAGGACTAGCTCAGGCTTCTTCAGCAAAACACTCACTTTAACACAGTTATTTTCCTGTTAAAACATGGTGGGGGGGGGGGCTGGAGCAATAGCACAGCAGGTAGGGCATTTGCCTTGCACGTGGCCGACCCAGGTTCCATTCCCAGTATCCCATATGGTACCCTGAGTACCACCAGGGGTAATTCCTGTGAACGATGGTAAAGGATTTTTATACTTATGGAAAGTAAAAATTTTTTAACTTGAAAAAATTATTTCTTTATGCTTCTAGCCGAAGGGAAAATAGATTATTAGATTCTTATACAGCAGAGTTGGGCTGGAGCGATAGCACAGCGGGTAGGGCATTTGCCTTGCACACGGTCGACCCTGGTTTGATTCCTCTGCCCCTCTCGGAGAGCCTGGCAAACTACTGAGAGTATCGCGCTCACACAGCAAAGCCTGGCAAGCTACTCATGACGTATTCAATATGCCAAAAACAGTAACAACAAGTCTCACAATAGTGACGTTACTGGTGCCCACTCGAACAAATCGATGAACAATGGGAGGACAGTGACAATGACAAAGGAGTTAGGGAGAATGTCTTCAATTATGGACAAAGCTATTTATTCACTATAAAGGAGAAACTCTTATTTCAATCTTTAGCTAAGAAGTGCTCCTATAATACTCTGCATTTCCCTTAGTCTCATACTTTTGATCTTCCATCGTGTACCAGTTAGTCACATCTGTTCATATTAGTCTGAACACAGAGTTTGGTCCCTTCTTAGCACATATCATAGCTTAGTAGAGTCAGGGGCAATCCCTGAGTACCACCAGGTGTGGCTTCAAATCAAGAGAATCAAGTTCTCTATGCCTGATTTGCTCAAATTTTTCCTTACAAGCGGCCAACATGGCCGACCCGAGTTCGATTCCTCCGCCCCTCTCGGAGAGCCGGCAAGCTACCGAGAGTATTTGATATGCCAGACACAGTAACAACAAAGTCTCCAGTGGAGACGTTACTGGGCCCGCTCGAGCAAATCGATGATCAACGGGAGGGCCTTTACCTTTACCTTACCTTATTTTCTTATGACAT